ACGGCAGAAGATCATTGTTCTCCATTTGCGAGAGAAGATTTTAGCAAATATTTCCGAAGTATCCTGTATACGCATCGTTAGGTGATATTTCGAACACCAACTCTGCTTTCAAAGCAAAAATATTCCGAAGTTCCAGAAGAGCCCAAATTCAGTTTGCGAACTTTAAGAAGCGAACTCCAGTGCTGCTGAGATAACCCATACATCGATTTGTTGTATATCCCGGAATTCGACTGGAAATTATCTAGGAATTTGAAAAAGTTTGGAATCTCGTACTGCACGGCACCTGCGAAGAATCTTAAGGCTTGGATTCACGTCTTCAGAAAACGATACCAAACGTAGCTGGTTGTTCATCTGTGGAGCGAATAGAGGACGAAAGATGTATCCTTACATGGGATTATATGGCCACGGCCTGGGTTATGGCCATGGAATGTACGGCTTGATGGGTCATGGAATGATGGGTCACGGCATGCTGGGAGCGTACGGCCACGGCAGTTTTGGTCATCTGCCTTATTTAGGTTACTCGTCCTTCGGTCATCTTGGAGGTCTTTACGGGCGCAGTTTTGGACATTACGGAAGCTTGGGACACTTTGGCTATGGCCATTGGTACTGAGACCACTGAAAGAAATCGCACTTTTCTTCTCCATCTTTTATCGGTCCTCCCTAAATTGCTAGCAATAGAAACAATATACCGGCCAAAATTTTGAAAAAAAATTGCAGAAACACTAATGATACAAAAATATTGGACTTCAACGAAGAAAGAAACTTTCGAAGAGGGATCAAATATACTGTTTGTTTATATCTTGAGCCTAAAGACGACGACTTTGTGAAATGAGGCAACTGCAACAAAAACCTGTTCTGGAATCTGTAATCTTGCTTCTGAAATTTGGAGACACCGTTTTAATACCGGAAAAGTGAACATCGACTTTATTTTGAAAATCTTCTTCAATGTAACTAGATCAATAGCCGGTGCAAAACTACAAATTTCTATTTTTATCAATTTCTTAATAAAATGTGTTACCTTTTTGGATTAGTGGAACAATATATTTCGGTACTTAATGTGGAATGAGTTGATAAAAAAGTTTGTAGGCCGTGGTTTGATCTCTCATTCACGCTCCATTTCCTTCACAATTAAGTGTAAATATATCATAATGTTTATTTGTTTGTACTTAAATATGTTATGAAGCGGAGTAAAATTAATCTACCTGCCCGTTGAGTTTTTTTAGTAGTTTTTTCCTCATCAGATTTTCACTGTTCAGCTGAACACCGGCATTTATGCTCTTATAGAAATATGCGTTGTACTTTGAAGAGAGCATTGAGAGCGTTGATTGAGTATACTCGTTTATTTTTCTCCTAACAAGTGTTTGGGAGGTAGGTACCGGCCCGTAGGTTTGTCAGCGTGTTGTAGTCAAAGGCTCTTTATTTCATGATATTCTCTTATGCATATTGTGTTGCCAATATTTTAATTTTCTATGTATCCTAGTTTTCTTACCTTTTATAATTTGGCATAATTTAATGTATTTAGTTTGCCACTTACTTGCAGTACTCAGTGCAATAAACAAACACGAATAGCGGTGAAAAAAAATATTTTTATTCATTTTACTTTACGTGGTGACGTTTTTTCATATTTTTAGCCATCACCGGTGTCTGGAGCCTCGGACGGACATGATCATCGGAGCGTACATGTACATAACCCTCAGGGACCCGCCACAGCACATGCAATAAGCACATACGGCGCCCAAGTCTCAAGGGCAATGGGCCTTTTGACATGTTAAGACCGCTGCATGGCGTCGGACTGCCATAAGGACCTCAGGCTCTCATCATAGAATTCCACTATGGCCCTGCCAGCGATGCGACTGCGAGTTGCTATTTTTTCCAAGTTGGCTGAGCAATAAAATATACAAATTGTGATTCACAAATTAAATTAAAAAATAATTAATTCAACAGTAAAATATCTTTTTTACTTTCATAGGTTGCAAAATGACAATGACTGTTGACTGACAAAATGACAATGCCTTACTGGCTTACTTCACTTGCCGGCAGGTATTGTCAAAATTAGATGAATTTTTAATTTTTGCAATTAAGGTGCTAAAACTTAAACAATGAGGAATTGTGTAATTTTTATTGACATGCGACATGCAGTAGGCCAGTAGCAGACTGCAAGTAGCATTAACTGCCACTAGCAGTTAATGAACAAAATTCATGGTGGAATTCTCCACAAATGCATTTCTGACTATATTTATATATTTCATTATTAATATTATAATTGAAGTTGCCTATGTTATAGGTGATTTATGTACTGACATAGGTCATGGAGTACAACCTCATTGATTCATATTGAAATCGACAATGTGATTTATTCCGAACTCCGAAGAATGGCCATGCGAGGTCTATTTTAAAACTAAGACAACTTTTGAGGATCAACCATAACTCGGTAATTGGCAGAAGCACATCACTGACAGTCTAGAAGGTACCCTATGTGAGTACACCATACGATTTTTCTAAGTTATTACCTCACTGTTCAAGTTTTATCACATTAATTGCATATAATGAAGAATTTATCTAATTTTGACGATTTGATGAACCCTTACCTTACATTTTTTAAGGTTACCTAAAAAATTATATAGATTCTCTGGTAGAATTATATAGATTCTGGTTCACTTCAAACTATCGCCAGTCATGAAAAGATCCGGTCAAATGACACGAGTTTAGATCTATGAACAAGGCACGAAATGGAAAAGAATCGGCGACAGGCACGCTACATTTAGAGCATGTAGCGGTAGCGGTAGCGCCGCTACATTTTCTAGTAGCGCTGCCCAGCTCTGATTATTAGTATGGAAATATGGTTTAACTTTGAAGATAGCATTGAAAGCGTTGATTGAGGATACTCCTTTTTTTTTTCTCCTAACGAGTGTTTGGGAGGTAGGTCTGTCAAATTGTCAGCGTGTTGTAGTTAAAGGCTCTTTATTTCATGATATTCTGTTCCCAATATTTTTATAATTTGGCATAATTTAATGTATTTCGTTTGCCTCGTACCTGCAGTACTTTGTGCAGTTTGAAACAATAAACGAACACAAATGGCGGTGAATTTTTTTTTATTAATTTTACTTTACGTGGCGATGTTTTTTCGCATTTGTAGCCATCACCGGTGTCTGGAGCCTCGGACGGACATGATCCTTGGAGCGTACATCATCGCACACTCTATACATAACCCTTGGGGCTCACTGTCCTGCCGAGCTTCCGAGGGGCTACCTTGGACGCGTCTCCAGAGCTCCTTCAACTACAAATAGAAGAAGAAGAATACTTAGGGCCCCGCCACAGCACAATAAGCACATAAGGTACTCGGCCACTCGGGTTCTGTGCCTTTGGTTGGTATCACGCCTCGGGAACATGCACGGGTGACGGGTGCAGTTACAGGCTACAGCGCTTTTTCTGGCTTAATGAAACCAGTCCTAGCCCAATATGTTCGTTGTATTTCGCTTTTTTAGGTAATTCTAGTTTTCATAATCCTTATAAATGAATTTAAAACCTGTAGTTTCATCAAGTAAAAATGTAGTAGGTATGCTTTTCTGTTCTGTGAAGTACTTAACGGTTAACGTGAACAAATTTTTTTCGCTTCAATTAGTCACGAATTACGATGCGGTGTCATGTCACTCATGTGAATTGTGATTTTGAGCAGAGTAATTGTTCCATCTGTTACCTATGATCTGTAGACTGTAGTGACACTTCTAAAGTTCTAATCATTGATAATTGAAAGCCTTGATTGTTGATTGATGTTTCAGTAATATCATCAAATCTTGTACCTAAATTGTAATTCAATTATTTTGTAAGAAAAAATCTAGCTAAATTTCATACTATCTTAACATAAAGTTTAAAAAATTGGGGTTTGACAGTTTGACCTCAATCTGGATTTGAAAATTGAACTGAATTTTCCAAAAATCATGGCTTAAACTCTAAAGTCTAGAACACTGAACCAATATTTCACAGATACCTAATTTTAAAAATTGCTGGTGAAAGTAGGCTGTCTTTTGTTTTACTGAAGTCACTTCACTGCAGACTTCACACTTCAGCAGTTTAGAATTCTAGTTCTAGAGAGGTAGGTATTAAATTAACCAATAACCAGTAGCCAGTAGGTACATTACACTGGCTACCCATATAGCATTATTAGCATTTGAAAGCAGGACTTGATGTTGATAGTTTGGAAAGCAGGACATGAAAGCTTGGAAAGGGTACAAAGTACAAACCAGGCCAGGGTGGCTGAGGCTGAGGGTGCTGGCCGGTGGCCAATGGCCATCACTCTGATGGTAATGGTAATGTTAAGCTTGTAAAAAATTTTTCTATTTCACCTTCATTCGTGAGTTATAGGTGAAGCAATTGGAAATTTGCACTTACCAAGAAATTAATTCTGAAATACTGAAATGATTTGGATGAAACTTTGAATATAACCTATATATTCAAATAACCTAACCTCCAAACGGTGATGTTTAGCTTGTGAAAATTTTTTCTATTTTTCATTTGGTTGCAAGTTATATGGCTATACTAATACATAGGTATATGGCTCATTAACAATGCAAATTTAAAAACTGGCCTAAATATGTCTTATTTTTCTGTAGGCCGTAAAATGGGGTAACTTAGACCACTTTTTTTTCTTATAAATGATGCCATTTTCTTACTAGCTAAATTAAACTTGAATTGAAACATGCAAAATACAGGTCTATACTCTAGCTTCACTCACCATAAATTGCTGGCTCCAACACACTTTATTTAGAATTACACAGCATAGTTCTTGTAAAGTTCTTCAAGGGGGCATTTTTGTCCCAAAATACTCTTCACAGTGAAAACCATGATGTTTAGAGCTCTGAAGATAATGATTATTCAGCACCAAGACCATGCTTTTAACACCGCAGCAAATTTATTTAATTTTATGGCACCATTAAATAAAACCATATTTACTAGCTTACAGTCATATATCTTCTCACTTATGTTTCATGTCCTCAGAATGGAGTCAATAACTCTTTACTCAACTGTGACTGCTGATGCTCAGTTAGATTTGGAAGTTGTCCCAGAAAAAGATAGCTGCTCTTCTCACAAATCACCAAGCACTAATAGCCTCAGTTGTTCTGAAGCAGCTGATCCAAAACAAAATGAGATTGAACATTCAGTATCTGTGAGCAGAAGTACATCAAATACAAAGCTCCAAGACCATGAAACTAATGTCAGAATTACTGTTGAATCTTCAAATTCAAATGAAAATAATATAGGCAGAAGGAAAATCAATTTGCCTCTTGTGAATGTAGATGCAATGAGCATTTTGCATGAAGAGGAAAAAGGAATTGTGCCAATTCTAAAATCCGAGATAATTGAGCTTAGTGAATCTGATATGGAGCCTTTAGCCAATGCAATGGATACTGCCTCTGACCGTACAGAAAAACCTCACAAAATTTGTGAATCTCTAAAAAAAGATGGAGATGTCCGTACTGCTAATCAAGAGAAATGTCTACCTCAAGAAGTGAACAGCAATGACAGTATTGGCTCATCACTGCAACTTCATAAGAGGGAGGAAAGTAAAAATGATCCTGGGACAACAACTCTTAAAGCTGATCAAGGTGTGTGACTCTTTGACAACAACTAACCATTAGTCATTACTAATGTCTTGATTCAGGACTCAATTTTAGTATAGATTTAGTTTTAACTTTATTTTGTCTAAGTTACATTACTTGTTCTCTGTAATAAATATTAATATTGTTCTAGGATAAAACTACATCCAAAAAATTATTGGTGATTAACTATTATCATTGTTTTCCATATTAAAAAACACATAAACTATTTATATGGTTTCCTTGTTTATGAATTTCATTATTTTGGAATTCTTTACCACTTCAGATCATCTGTGGTCTGTTTACCTGTTATCAGCCTCCCCTGCATCTGCACCTGATGTTGCATTCCTCCACGTAAGTAATAACTCAATTACATGAATTTTTCACCTACTTCTGTTATCTACAAATCTTGTTTATGTTTTCAACTGTTTCATTTCATATCATAAATTTAAATGGCAGTTTGATTGATAGTCAAATTTAGTTTTAATGTGTTCTACCTGTAATATATTTGCCATGGAAACTGTTGCTTTACTTTCTTGTGGATTTTGAGTATGACATGCTGGTGTTTAATGATCACGTGTATGTGAAAGTGACTACATTATCATTTATCAATAAGCTAAACTAAAAGATATTTCTTTCCAACATCCATTTGAAGGTTGAAGAAAGTCTTACCTCTGACATTGAACCTGGTCAGCTTGTGGAGATCATCTGTGAGAGGAAGTTACCTTCATGGTACCTAACTGTATTACATTGTTGCCAGGAAGTTCAAATTAAAAGCCCTGAGAAAGATTCATCAGACAAAAGATACAGAGACAATGTGCTCGTGCTCGCTGCTGAAGATCTGAAATCATCCAGAGACAAGAACTTCACCAGAAACACATACTGGGTTGCAAAGGTTGTATCTGCTTGTGGTCCCCTATTGAGGTAATTTGCTTTTATGACAGAAAAGTTTGATACAACTTTCTTAATAAATTTTTGTGTACGTTATTAATAACTCCAAAGAATAAAAAAATTGAATTGAATGTTCTGAGGGAATCTCATAACTGGATGCAAATAGCAAAATTTTCAATTCCATCACCTTATGACAAACTTTTCATGACTTACAAATCATCCATAGAATCTCCAGGAAATCATTCATATACGTACTTATTTTATTCATAAAATTGGTGATGGTCATTCAAAGTGTCATTTATTTGTATGGTTTTCATTACTTTGGTTTAACTATAATAATTTTAAAATTTTCTTTCATTTCAGTGTGCAGTATATGTTGCCGAAGACTGTTATGTCTGACAATTTATGGGTGCAGATAGGAACGGATCAAGTGTATGCAGTGGGACATGGAGAGAAGCAAGGCATCGTCCCAGCCCCTCCAGTTGATGTCATTCTACAACTCAGTGGCTCATATCTGAAAAATTCTATTTTTCAAGATTCTTACAAAGAAAAAACTTTGCTTTCTGAGTCTCAAGATGTTCAATTGGTGGCAGAATTGCTGCAATTTCTCCATGCATGTTCCAAGAAACATGTGAGTGTTAATGAAGCAGCACTGAAGACAGAAACGATGCCCTCATTCAAGCGGCTGAAAGCAGGAGGATATGTTGAGGTCAGCAATGCTCATTTATGATTATTTAATGATATTTTTATAATTGCTCAGTATATTTCATTGCTTTTTCGGAGCTATAAATGTGATTTACACAAACAGTGCTTCTAAAGAATTTCAAATAATAGTATTTTTAATGCTACTCTAATTATGTTTAGCCTATCTAGCTTGTGATGAATGCTATGCTGAACAATATGTTGAGTGGCTGCTAAGAGATCTAATAGGAATAATAAATGTATTTATTAAATAATTTCTAGAAGCTTATAAATGGCTGGTCTACTTTTCCAGGTTCTTTCCCATGCTGCAAGCAAGAACGGTTGGCCAGCTTGCATTGAACAGAATGTGGGAGGAAGACTTCTTTTGAGATTTGTCCACCCTGACTGGCTCAGTCAAATTTCTGTTGGCAAGATGCAGTCAAACGAAATGGAGAAATCTGATAACTTTCGGGAAACTAAGGGTGGCTCCAAAACCACTGCAACTTGTGATGATGTTAAAAAGGAAGAAAATGACTTGAAAGTCAATGAAGAAAGATCAGTTCATTTAATGTCTGCAAATAAAAGCAAACAAAAGGAATTTTGGATATTTTGCACTGATAGAAGATTGAAGAATATTGGGTGGATTGCTAAACGATATGCAGAGGGTTATAGGTAAATATTTTATATTTTTATTTTAATATATTTAATATCAATACAAGTCACCTTTTTTCCCTGATTGATGTGCCTTTAGAAGTTAAAACTCTGTTTTTATTGCAATCCTATAAATACATTTACTCACTCAACATCAATCGTAGGTTTATGTCTAAACAAAATATGTTGCTGATTTTTAATTTCCCTTATGTCCATTCCCAGGTATGTTGATCCCGTATCGCTGGAGGCCACTCCAGTGGTGCCCAGTGATTTCTGCCAAGCGCTCAATAATAACAGCGATATGCTCGTGCCTATCACGCTTCCTGTGTCTTGGTCAGCTGAGCTAAAGGATACCATCTGCTACAACAGTGATGATTGCAGTCATAAACTTCAGGACACCTCTGTGCCTACAGCTAAAGGTGCTACACCTCCTTCTGGTGCTAATCGTGATGAAGGTGAACATTTTGAGGCCGCTGATATGGTAGATACTGCCATTGATGTTGCTGAAGTTGGCTGTGCTTTGGAGGATCCTATTAGTGAAAAAGAAAATGAGCGCAAATTAGGTGGCGAAATGATAGCAGGGCGTGAATATCCAACTGAAAAGGTAGAAACATTACTCAATAATGGAAAAACTCTCAGTACAAGCCCTATGCGTGATGTTGCAAAGGATCTGTGCCGTGCTGCTGATAGTATCATTCCATCATCTGACAAAATGAGTCGGACCAAACAAGAGGACAAGATAATCTCTGACAGTTGCATGCTTAACTCTGGTCCTTCTGTTCATATCCCTACGAACAAGCAAATGCTGGCGGTTGATTTAGTCAAAAATGAAATGAAACAAAACTCGGCTGAAGAAGGATCCATTATTGGTCTGGAAACGGCAAACGACTTTACAGGAAAATGTGGATTTATCAGTGCAAGTCCTTTAAGTACAAGCAATGCTGATAATGCTGTATCCAGCTGTGATAAATCTGGGTTGCCAAAAACAATTGTTCAAGCTGTTAAAGTTTCGGCATTGGTGGAAACAGATGCCGCAACAACAAAACAATTTTATGTTGAAAAGCTGGAGAGTCATGCAGAAGATGAATCCAGGAAACTCGGCAACAATGCATCGGCAGGAACTATGACAGAAATCGGTGTTGCGTCCATTAGTTTGGGCAACGCAAATAAGGAACCTAATGGTGAAGATCAACATAATAGTTCAGAGAAAGCAAATAATAGTGATGAAAACTTTCTGTCTAAAAATTTTGATGCTGCTGAATATGTATCAGCCAAGGCAATGATCCATGAACTGAACGAAAAAACTCAGTGCAATGAGGTCTCCATTGAGAGACTTTCTCAAGGAACAAGTCTCACCAAACCTATAAATGCACTCGGAAATGAATCAAAATTGAGTAGGTCCGATGTTAACTCTTCTCAGGTTATCACTGCTAATATTTGTGAGGAACCTATTGCAGAACACTCCGTGGGGATAAACTTGGCTCCATCGAATCAACCTGCTGACACCTCATGTTCTGTAAAAAGTAAACTCTTCATTAGTACCAGTGAATGTGAAACTGAGCACACTGATTGCAAAATTGAAATAGATTCTTTAGATGGGAATATTCCATCACCTGAGTTACAAAGGGTCAGCTTAGGAGCTGAACTTGGAAATAGGGCGACCACCAGCGATCTCACGAATAGAAATGTTCAAGTCGAATCATGTGACTTTGACTCTGATGTTCGGGTGATAACGATTGGGCAATGCGTTGTAAATTCTCCCACTAAAACCCGAAATGTTGAGCCTGTTGTAGCCGTCATTTCAAATGATGATTCGATGACATGTAATGTCGACGGAACGCTTGACGTGAAAAGTCGAAACACATCTCAAGTGCAGCAGGAAACAGGAGATGGAAACGCGCCCCATGTCAGTGACTGCTCGAAGAAAAATGAATACAGCAATAAATCTGAACATGCGACTGAAATTAGAGATGTACCTGTTAACGATTTTTCGGCAGCTTGTGAAATAATTCTGAGTTGTGATCTCGAAAAAGTGGTCGACACTCCCGAGTTGACCAAGGCACCGCTGAGCTTGACTCAGAATGAATCGCCGGACAATAATAATATGATGGACCGTAATGCCGACACTGTCAAAGATGCAGCTGCAGAGACTGACGAACGAAATTCCTTGGCGCCTGGAATGGTCCTGGAACTCGTAAATCCTATAAAACTGTCGTGCATTCATGCTGCTGTTGTATCTAAGGTCGCCCAAGACGGTGCAGTAGAAGTCATGTACAGTTTATGTGAACAAGTGACATCCAAAGATGAATATTCGACTGAAAAACAATACGTCAAATCTGAGCGCACGTCCGTAAAAATTGAGAAAGCTGAAGAGAATGAACCATGCAACGATCTTCCGATTCCTGACTTTGACCGTGCAGAAAACTTCGGGTTGAAGACTCGTTTATTAGATGCCTGCAAGTACTCAACCTATATGAATGACTATTTGCTGCTACCAACTGGATTCTGTCAAGAATTTGGAGCTATCTTACATCCGTTGAAAACTGAACATCTAAAACCCCATTTATCAACTGTTGATTGTAAAGACTATTCTGTTCCTGTGATGGCTACAACCAACTTAAATTCTTCCGTGTTGCCTGACGTCCAAACCCACGAACTAGCATCTGAAACGAAAGTTAATGCAACCACAAAATCAAATGAAAATGTTGCTTTGCCATCAGTTGTTCGGTGCGAGTTGTCAGACAAAACAGTTCCTGATAGTAACTCTGGCATCTCATTTCCTGAAATTCAACATGAAAGCGTAGACCTTGGCGCCCATTCAAATAAACAAGACCCAGAAAAATCTGAAGTGGATGCAATTGCAAAAATATCATTGCCTTCAATCAAGAAATGCCACGGAAAACTCGACGTTGCTTTGTCTCTGGATGGTTCTGATGAAGCCATTTTACCTGAATTACCAAAAATGCATGACAAGAGCAAAAGTGTGTCTTTGCCCATTGAGGGACTCGACGAAGGAAAATTAATGCTTGTCAAAGACCGCGATCACAACGACAGCACAGATTTTATCGATATTGATGTAGAGATCATAGACGAGACCTACTCAGAGAGCTCGTGTGATATGGAGATGGATTCTGAACAAACTCCGCCGACTAACGAGTCTCCAAACAAGGCAGTGCAGGATGGAACGGTTGTTGTCGACGAGTGTTTGGACGAAAGACCCGCATCTCCTATTGGCGTTAATTGTTATAAATGCCATCAGAGCTTTGAATGGGAAACATTCCTGGCCGCAAACCCATCGCATGTAAGGGTTCCTCTTTCTTATTTTTCCTTCATTCCACTCAATGCTGACACTGAGTTTTCTGCTGGTCACAAACTTGAAGTCGTTCATCCTGAAGATCCAAGTCTGATATGTGCAGCCACCATTGCTGCTACCACGGGACATTTGTTGTGGCTTCGCGTAGACTCGCTTCCTAACCCAGGTCTGACCTCGGCCGAATCTGAGGCATCTTCAGGAAATGGTAGTTCACAGTTATCAAACCTCGTCAAGGAAGTTGACCCAGGGGTTCAACACTTGTTCTGCGACTGCGAGAAGCCTAATCGAATCCTAATTGAACACATTTCATCCCTTGACGTTTTTCCTGTCGGTTGGGCTCATAGCAACCACGCACCATTCGTCTTTCCTCCACCAAAAACCAGCGTGAACGTAAGTTTATTGCTGTATCGTTTTCTAGTAACAAGTTTAGTTATGAAATTTCTTTTGAAATACGTGAAATAATATTTAAATGATTTGCTACCATTTCTCTAGTGTGGATATCAAACACACAAGGTCACTCTCAATTAATCGCCCACAATTTCTGTCTCTGGTTCCAGCGAATCATGAATTTAAGCGTTTACCTTTGAGTCTGTTAAGCTTTAACTCCTCAATCCCATTCTTCATTAAATCTTTGCTTGCAGGTGCCAGTGATCCGAATGAAGAGGTTTAGCGCGTCCAGTGCTTCAGACAGCAATGCTGCCAGGAGATCTCGAGACTTCAACTCTCTGAAACTCGGATCAATCATTGCGCCGGACGGAACCCACCGAAGCCGGTGGTGTCCAACCCTCTACCTCAACCATTGCTGTTGGCCTGGGCCCTACCTCTCCAGTGCTAAACTGGGTAACTTCTTTGCTGTGACGTAGGAAATTAGTTGCCAATGGCGCTGGAATTTCCTTATTTGTTACTTGGTCAGTTCTTTCTGTATTGGTTAGGTACTGTTGAATTATTTCTGGGTTACTTAACCATTCATTTGGAAGGACTCGTTAATTCCTTTGTGTGACTCGCTTATTTCCATGTCAAGAAATTACTTGATTAAATTGGTGTTTACATTATAATTAATTGCAGAGCAATTAATTGGATGTTGCATGGGTAGCCAGAGCAATTAATTGGATGTAGCATGGGCAGCCAGAGCAATTAATTGGATGTTTTATGCGTAGGCAGAAAAATTGAAGCCGCTAATAAATGTTATCACCCTGCGCAGTATGTAGCGTGCTCTTTAGCTTCAACTTGTCAAGTATTGTAAGGCTACGCCGTAGCAAACAAGTGCCTCGAATTTCAACAAATGAACATGTGCGGACCTACCGTCGTGACCTGTTATTGATTAATTAACTTTATCCTCCTTACCTTTTACGTAGCATAGATGTTGTAATTTGTACCATTAATTATGTTAATAAGCATTATGTGTTATTGAGCATTTTGTGTTAATGAGCATCATGTGTTAATGAGCATTATGTGTTATGATCATCATGTGTTATGATCATTATGTGTTATGATCATTATGTGTTAATGATCAATATGTGTTAATGAGCATTATGTGTTATGATCATCATGTGTTAATAAGCATTATGTGTTAATGAGCATCATGTGTTAATGAGCATCATGTGTTAATGATCAATATGTGTTAATGAGCATCATGTGTTAATGAGCATCATGAGTTGATGAGCATCATGTGTTAATGAGCATCATGAGTTGATGAGCATCATGTGTTAATGAGCATCATGTGTTAATGAGCATCATGTGTTAATGAGCATCATNTGAGAGTGAGGGGTTGCAGCTGTGGTGGTGAGAGTGAGGGGTTGCAGCTGTGGTGGTGAGAGTGAGGGGTTGCAGCTGTGGTGGTGAGAGTGAGGGGTTGCAGCTGTGGTGGTGAGAGTGAGGGGTTGCAGCTGTGGTGGTGAGAGTGAGGGGTTGCAGCTGTGGTGGTGAGAGTGAGGGGTTGCAGCTGTGGTGGTGAGAGTGAGGGGTTGCAGCTGTGGTGGTGAGAGTGAGGGGTTGCAGCTGTGGTGGTGAGAGTGAGGGGTTGCAGCTGTGGTGGTGAGAGTGAGGGGTTGCAGCTGTGGTGGTGAGAGTGAGGGGTTGCAGCTGTGGTGGTGAGAGTGAGGGGTTGCAGCTGTGGTGGTGAGAGTGAGGGGTTGCAGCTGTGGTGGTGAGAGTGAGGGGTTGCAGCTGTGGTGGTGAGAGTGAGGGGTTGCAGCTGTGGTGGTGAGAGTGAGGGGTTGCAGCTGTGGTGGTGAGAGTGAGGGGTTGCAGCTGTGGTGGTGAGAGTGAGGGGTTGCAGCTGTGGTGGTGAGAGTGAGGGGTTGCAGCTGTGGTGGTGAGAGTGAGGGGTTGCAGCTGTGGTGGTGAGAGTGAGGGGTTGCAGCTGTGGTGGTGAGAGTGAGGGGTTGCAGCTGTGGTGGTGAGAGTGAGGGGTTGCAGCTGTGGTGGTGAGAGTGAGGGGTTGCAGCTGTGGTGGTGAGAGTGAGGGGTTGCAGCTGTGGTGGTGAGAGTGAGGGGTTGCAGCTGTGGTGGTGAGAGTGAGGGGTTGCAGCTGTGGTGGTGAGAGTGAGGGGTTGCAGCTGTGGTGGTGAGAGTGAGGGGTTGCAGCTGTGGTGGTGAGAGTGAGGGGTTGCAGCTGTGGTGGTGAGAGTGAGGGGTTGCAGCTGTGGTGGTGAGAGTGAGGGGTTGCAGCTGTGGTGGTGAGAGTGAGGGGTTGCAGCTGTGGTGGTGAGAGTGAGGGGTTGCAGCTGTGGTGGTGAGAGTGAGGGGTTGCAGCTGTGGTGGTGAGAGTGAGGGGTTGCAGCTGTGGTGGTGAGAGTGAGGGGTTGCAGCTGTGGTGGTGAGAGTGAGGGGTTGCAGCTGTGGTGGTGAGAGTGAGGGGCTGCAGCTGTTGTTAATTTGCATTGCTAACAAAATTTACGCTGTTCCTTCGTATTGTGATGTAATGCGTTTCCCTTAGCAAAATTCTGCTGTGAAATCTTGCATGATCAGCCTTTGCTGTAGGACGAAACCGCAAGTTTCGCCCTACGTTATGTTGCGGTAAGAACCGAAGATCTAGTAGTTCTGGTGGTCTTATTTGATGTTACAACGAAAAGCTTGCAAACACGATAACAAGGAGATTTTCAGCCCCAAACTTGAATTTTTTTCATTTATTCGTTGTTCAGATTGAAACTAGTATTGCTTTCCATAAAAAGTAGTCTATTTATTCATATTCTGTTTGCGGTTAAGACTCTTATCTCATGTTTCAGTTATTCATTGTCTGAAAATTGTTTGTTACTGTTTCTAATTTGTATGAAATTTTCTTGTTTTGTCTGCAGAAGCAAGAGGTTTTCAATCCGCGGTGCCATAATGGTTCCGCAGTTCAGAGACGAGGTACCTTCTTTCCTCGAGCAAGTCTTTGATGTGTTCCAGTGTTGTCCTAACCTCTGGGCCTTTGCTAAACAGCTCGACTGTCCTCATCGCTGCAAAAAAGTTGTATGTTGATTATCTTTTAATATCTTAGCAGGTTTTTTTTATAAATTTGTGTATAGATTTCTGCTCAACGGTTGCATGATGAACTGTTGGTTCATTTATCTAATTGGGTCTGTATTAATATTTGTTGTACATTTTGTGAGGGCAATTCTTTGTTGATCGTCGATGGGCGCGCGCAGCTGATGAACATACCGGCAACGTCAAATTGAATGATGATTGTACACTTGTGCCCGAAATTATTCATACCCTAACGTCATTTCGACAAATTACGAGAAATAGACCAAAAAATAATTATCTAAAACTTTAAAGCAGATGTAAACCATTTATGAACCATATAACGTGTATTTAGAAACCATAAAACATTATTTTTTTCAGTTTTGTAAAGAGATTCAAAGGAAACATAAAACTGATTCATGACCAAATTTATTCGTATCCTGAATCAATAGTTAATATCATGGCCTTTTTACTCATGATAACTTGTTGTAAACGCTTTGGGTAATGGTCAACAAGGTTCCTGCATGTATCGACGCTAAGTTTTGTCCATTCTTTCTAGGCATACTGTTCCAATTCTTTCAAATTTTTAGGTCGTCTCTTTTTCATCTCTATTGTCAAGTACGCGCCACAAATTCTCAATTGGATTGAGATAGGGACTTTGACTAGACCATTCCGTGATTTTGATGTGAGAATCCTCGAACCACTTCTTGACTATTTTCTGTGTGCTTCGAATTATTATCCTGCTGGAGAATCCAATCATGACCAAGAAAAAAATTTTCTGCATACCTACTGCTTGATGTTATTTTTGATAATATCAAAATATTGTTCTTTTTACACGATTCCGATTACATTGATCAGACTTCCAGGTCCCCTGGCAGAAAATGAACCCCAAAAGATAAGATTCCCACCGCCATGTTTAGCTGTGGGGATTGTTTTCTTTGGATTATGAGCCTCACCTTTTTTTCGCCAAGCGTAAGCAACATTCATATGCCCGAATAATTCAATTTTAGTCTCATCTCTCCACAAAATCTTGAAGAAAAATTAGGTTTGGGAATCGACAGGAGTTTTAGGAAACTTCTGGCGTGCTTTCACTTGCTTTTCTGCTAGCAAAGGGGTTTTCCTGGGTCGACAACCCTTCAGTCCGTTTCGATGCATTGTTCTTTGCAATGTTTGTCTTGATACCTACCATAAAAGCAAAAGCCTCCAAATTTGATAGAATTTCCTTACTAGTGATCCTATAATTGTTGCAAATGGAGCGTATTATGTTTCTAGCACATCTAGGGGAGATTTTTCCTTTCCTTTCTCGGCCAACAAGGTTATCCACCGTGATAAATGATTCGATTTTTTTTTATCATGCTCTGTATTGCAGTCGTAGGAATATCAAAATTCTTAGATATTGATTTATATCTCATCTCCTCTTTGCGAGTATTTATGATTTTGCTTCCGAGATCATTATTAAGCTCTTTTTTCTTTGCCATCTTCAAACTTTTAGCAAAATTTTAGCTCTTTCCTAAATTGTGAAAAATTATGTTTTCAAACTTTGCAGAGAAAAATATTACAATGCTTAGTAACACAAAATTTGAAAATACAATTATTGAGTATCTACCACTATTTTCATTAGGAGTTCTTCTTAAATATTATGATAAATGATCTGGAGTAAGAGGGTACGAATAACTCTGAATGGTTAGTTTCTCACAAAATTCAAAGTAATTACTATCGAAAGTTATTATATACATATTTTCGAGCATTAAATTTGCTGTACATTATAATGACAACTCTTCCTAGAAGAATAAGTTGTAAATGATCGCTATTCTTCATTAAAATTGGAATTTGATTATATTTCTGAAGGGGTATGAATAATTTCGAGCACAAGTGTATCTCTTTATATCATTGGTATTTTATTAACTTTTTCTATATAATACATGAAATTTTGTTCTGGTAATCTGTTTCTGTTAAAACCTGTGAAACTATGTTAACAGATTACGGAATTTTTTTTTTTTTTTCTCTTCAGAGTAATCCCGTCATGACTAGCGTTGGAAGAGCAAAGCGCAGTCGACTGGATTCACTGTTGGCTTCCACGTCTCTTCTCGACGTCGACGAGGACATGGACGATGACGAAGAAGACTGGGAAACCCAGCCTAAAGACACCAACTCACCTGCTGAAACCGGCGATAAAAATCCCGGTGAAATAGATGACGACTCAATCAAAGTCTCCAAACGCTCACGTTCCATCGTTTCCGATTCCGTGGAACAGCCTTTGAAGAAGAGAAAACTCAATCGGTCGTTCGCTATCCCTCCAGCCCGTGTTTCTTCAGATCCTCTGTCTTGGAGTGAAGGCGAAGTATATGACTACGTCTCAAATGAAGCCACCATTAGTCATCATGCTTCGTGGCTAAGACAAGAGAAAATCGATGGCATGGCTCTCATGCTTTTGAACTTATCGACTTTGGTAGATCAGATGCAGCTTCCTCATGGGGCTGTACTCCCTCTGGCCCATCATCTTTGCCGGCTCAAAATGGCACATTTATTATTACGCAACGAATAGCGCTGATGTAAACATTACGTATCAGCTATTTACGTGTCATGTTTTAAATATTGAGCTTTATTTGGATTTACCCTTGTATGCTTTGGATTTGTTCTAATTTCTGAGGCTTATGGCTAATAATATAACCCATGTACAGATTTTTTCCTAAACCTTTTCTTCTTCGCCTTGTTGAAATTAAACTGAAATAGTCTTGTTATATGTTCGATATTTGAGGAATGAAATGGCTATATTACTCTGTCGAAATTTATGTTTGCAACATCATCTAGCGTTTTCCGGACCACTGCAGGAAAAAAGAACCGCAGTCCTGCTGCGAATAGTCAAATGTGACTCAAAATGATGAAATGACTTGAAAGTAATTATGATATACTCTTAGTAGTTATGCATGAGGAGCCTAATGCCCTAATGATTGGTTGCCAATTCATACATGCTTTAGTTTAGTTCTACTCATCGTCGTCTATTGCCTTCGCAGTGCCTCATCAAGCCGCACTCTAACTCATTTTAATAATAATAATGATAGCGATCTCGGAGTTTTTTTTTAGGTTTTAAGCCCGTCGCTGACTCTCAACATCGCAGAACATTCACAGCTTGCTGCGGTATCGAAAATTCAACTCACTGTTCTAAGTTTGCTCTGCTTAGTCGCCCAACCTCCTTGCCGATTCCCACCAGACACTAGCATACAGAGTTGGAATCAAACCCGCATCTCTGCTCCAATCCTGATACTCGTTTCTTTACTGTAACCACTGGGTCACCTTGCCCCAGTGTGCTTGGTTTCATCATGCTGTTGGCATCTGATGAATTGGTAGGTAGTTTCTGCGAGAATATTCTGGCTGGAAGAAAATTATAAAAAAATATGAAAACTTTGTCTATTGGGGCGTGGACACAAATGAGTAGTAGAGTCTCTGTTAGCTAACTTGGTAGAGGCGTAGAGCTAGGCTTGGTTCACACTATACTGACGCGCACGTACCAGTCAGTGTTGTTCAATATTCTTCAGTGCATTTCTATATAAGTATCAGGGAATGTACCCTGACTGGCGAATGCCCATTTAGAATAGAATAGAAGTGTCGGCGTTGAAGACATAGGCCCATGGCCTGTTGCCGATTCTTGAACTTTTCGTGACTTGATTCACAAGGGATCCGGCCTTTGGAACCCGATCTTTCCATAACTGACGATTGATTGAGATAGCTGCTGGACTTATTGCCTGCTCCGTAATTTGCTAGGCATTTTAAGACTGAACATATGCTCCTGCATAGCTTCGTCTAGTCTGTTTTTGAAGATGTTCATACTCGGAGCTTCAACGATGCTATCAGGGAGGCTGTTCCACATGTCGGTTCCACATTTACAGTGTGAACCAAACCCAATTATGTTGCCAATGTGGACGCATATTTACTACTATTTCCTCAATTTTGCCATCAAGTGAGCTATTTTTTAACGACATCGTAAACGTATAGTATAGATATGTTTATAGACTGGCGAACGGTACTGACTAAAGCCCGGCTCCGGACTGATCTGTCAGAAACGGACAGTGACCAAACTCCGAAGTCCGGTCTACGAATTACACTCAGAAATTTTATTTGTCATTGCGCCATCGCGGCACCGCACACTTGCACCACCCCTCACAAGAGGGGGTCAAGAGCCAAGCTGCAGCGCAAACCACCTACTAAAGTACTAAATAGATTAATAAACATAAGAGGCAGGCTCAGGCAGCACACTGAGCAGTGAGCACAGGCTGCACAGGAGCACAGCACTGACTGACACTTTCTGACAGCAGCTGTAGCAAATAGGAATTTTTCAAAATAGAATGTGGTCTTAACTGTTAAGACTCAGTCAAGTTTAAAGTCAATAAATGCATAAAAATTATAAAATATTCATGTTTCTTAATAAATTTATATGCCATTTATATTGAGAAACTGCAGAGTACCTAGGTAGCCTATCTCTGTTACCAGTGGCAGAGACAGGCAGACTGAGTGGCACTGTGGCAGTTATCAATCATATATTTGTTCAATGAATTTTAATTTGGCTATTTTCATCTCTCAGAACTGCTTTCAGAACTGATTGCTCCACTTTGTCCAATCAAATGTAGGGTAAACGCGGTATATTCCGACATCGTAGGTAATTCCGTCACGCGTCACCTCTCCAGCTTTTCTTTTATATTAAGCTTTGTTTTAGTTCCATGCCACACTCAGCATGATGTATGTTTTCGGTGAATTGTCCCGCGCATTTTCACTTTTTTTAAGCTATTGCTGTGCACAGTTGGCGCAATGTAAATTGTAATGAAAATTGATTATCTTCGTGCATGTGTTCACGCAATCCCGGCCATCTTTATTTTAGAAGAAATTTTCTCCAAAGTCATATGGCAACACTGAACACCGTCTGTTTACATTTCGTATGTATAACAGCCACAGTTTATGATTACCGTATTCATAGTGGCAAAGCAGAGAGTTTTTTAGACTCTCCCTCAAGTTCATTTGTGAGTCCTATAAGTAGACCAATAAAGTATCCTGGATACCAGCAGTATCATACATAAGAAATTGATTTAAATCTTGGGTAAATGAGGAAATTAAAAATGAACTGATTCTAAAAAATCTGTGGTTTGCCACTATGCCGTACGTTCCGTATCCGACAAGGCGGACAACCGGAAGAGTCAGAAGTAACCCGGACATGTCTTACATTTTATTATTGTCAGTTCCACTCGCGTAATCAATATACTCACGTATATTGTCTACTAAAATATTAGAACTATTTTAGCTTTCTAAAGTACGGCGCACGGCGCATTTTTCTTCCAACGTAGTACGGCGCACCGCGCAGGTCGTTAAAATGACAAAATAAATTCCTGCGCACCTGGCACATCTTCCTGACCATGGGTTCCATGCGTTCATTGATGGTTGAAATGGTGACGTCATACATTTGCGTGTCGAAATACTGCAAAAACACTACCGTCAATGCTACATAAGTCGCCACTTTTGGAAAACGCAATTGAATATATTGGATTTTGAAACACCAATCAGCTAAAAATTAAATGTAGGGTAAACGTGGTATATTCCGACATCGTAGGTAATTCCGTCACTTCTCTAGTTTTTCCTTTATATTAAGCTTTGTTTTAGTTCCATGCGTTCATTGATGGTTGAAATGGTGATGTCATACATTTGCGTGTCGAATTTCGAAATACTGCAAAAACACTAGGTCTTGGCCATCTAGCAGGAAAATATTGAGATCCAAAGAGAGACAATGCATGCCACGTGGTGAGATCATCGAAAAATGTGTCAAATTTGACAGTTGACATGGCTCTACCAAATAGTGAATAACTGTTTTTATAGGAAGAATATTATGGTTAATATGATACAAGGCGCGTTTGCGGTAAATATTAGTTACTATGTAATTTGGTGGAACATTCGATATTTTTTCTAAAACAAAGGGTAATACCGCACTTTTGGTACATAACATAGGAAAGTGAATAACAACCAGGTATTTTGTATCTTTGTCGGTCATCAGCATGCTTGGGCCAGTGTGCCACACCATCCAATCTCACTTCTTTAGGGGGCAGATGAGCTACATTACCATTCTTATCACATGGCGCACAACTTATCGCATGGAGTCCTTCTTATCAGTGTTATCACATGGCACCGTTCTTATCACGTGACGCCCTTCTTATCACATGGCACCCTTCTAATCGCATGACGCTCTTTTTATCACATGGCGCCCTTATAATCACAGAGCACACTTCTTATCACATTGCGACTTTTTGATCCCATGGCGCCATTCTTATCGCATCATTGCATGACGACCGTCATATCGCATAGAGACTTTCATATCACGAGGCGCCCATCTTATCACATGACACCCTTCATAGCGCATGGCGCCCTTCTTATCACATGACACCCTTCATAGCGCATGGCGCCCTTCTTATCACATGACGCCCTTGCTATCACATGAAGCTCTTCTTATCAAAAGGCGCCCTTCCTATCACATGGTGCCCATCACATAACATCTTGTGCTGCCTAAGGTCAGGTTGCAGTCTCTTGTCTAGCGTGAAGCATTGAGCCTTGTGTGTTTTTTTGTTCTGTGCTGTGTTGTATTGTGTTGTTCTGTGTTGTATTGTATTGTTCTGTGTTTTATTGCATTGTTCTGTGTTGTATTGTATTGTTCTGTGTTGTGTTGTTCTGTGTTGTGCTGCATTGTGTTGCGGTGTTGTGTTGTGGTGTTGTTCTATGTTGTGTTGTTACAATTGTAATGTGTTGTTCTGTGCTGTGTTGCGGTGCTGTGTTGTGTTGTGGTGTTGAGTTGTGCCTCTTGCCTCTGGATCTTCTTTTTACCACCTTTACTTTTTCACTTCTGCTGTAGCTGGCTTCCACAGAATATGTGTTAGCAGAGTCATCACCGTCTGAAAATACAATATAACTTTAGGAGAAAACTCATCATCTATTTGTAAACAGGTATTATTCAATGAGGATTAACTTTACTATTTGATAATGCACAAATATATAAATATACTATGTTGCCGTTACTGTAAAATAGAATAAAAATCTATGACTTGGTTGTATCAAATGAATATATACGGATTGCGTAAGTAAGTAACTGACGTTATGCTTGCAGACTTACCCTTATTTTTGGCTTTTTGCCGAACGCAAAAGAAATGACTTTCTCACCTCCGGAATATGATTCAAGAGAGTCCATATCACAGATATAAGCGGCTAATGGGTTATTGATGTTGTCAGCATCACTAGAAGTTTCGTCATCGTCACTTACATCGAAGAAGAGAGCCTCCAGAATTTCCTTCTCAAACAAATAATGCGGCATCACCTGGTGAAACAACATTTATTACATACATTACGCATTTGGAAGATGCATAACTGCTAATCTGATGAGGAATAAATTTTTCTAGATATATAATAACTAAACATACTATTTGAGTGCATGAAAAAACATAAAATGGCAGAAAACTACCGTGTTGTATCATTAATGATACACATACATATGATGCAGAAAAGTTGCCCATACGCGCCTTGTATCAGAAATGATACAACGACATTTTCTCTTATTGAACGAAAACAAATTCTTGAAAAGACTTATTGAAGGCTTCCCAATAATCATGACAACATAAAGAAATAGGGTTTATTTTTTTCTTACCTCTGAGAGAAACGTAGAAGCCAGAATGAACCAAGAAATATGGGGCTTCCGCACACTTCCACCGACCACGCCTTGTCGCTCACTGGCGTTCATGTTTACCGCAGAACACAACACCGATGTATCTCGTTTCGTTCTCGTTCGATTACGTATGTATCGTACTTGATACTAGATGTGCCGCAGGCAAGTAGCCTGATTACCTTAGCATTTATAGGCGAAAATTCGGTTTGTATCATTTTTGATACACGTTGCATTTAAGGGTTAAAGTGTCGGAATATACCATGTTTACCCTAACACTTGTACAGAGTTGACTAATGTTTAGACTTTCGAGAAAAAAATTCACGAGGTTTTTTTATTGCTCGATCATATAATAAAATGGAAGTTTTCGAGCCCCGTCGGGAGTGGCGAGGTATATAGTACCTGCTTCAAAGTCGCCAGCGATACTGAGGAAGGGTACACTAAAGTCGCCATAGCCTGGCGAGGTTATTGCAGTCTTTTTGTGAATAGCGCCTGCGTGAGGTACAGTAGAGAAAGCCTCAAATTTAGGGGAAACCAACCCTTGAACTTCAGCCTTTGTTTAAAAAATTAATAAATAAATGATTTAAATATTGTTCTTGTACGAAAATAAATGTAACCTCAATGAATAAAAATTTTTCCTGGCTATAATAAGTAAGAGGATTCGAACTAATCTTAAATTCGTAAAAAGAAACTCATTTCACTGCATCGAATATCGATGTTGGGAGGGCTGTTCATTCGCGCATTTATCCGCCTCGATTCCAATTCATCGAAGAAACGCACTTCAGGGATAGGCGGTTCCGTATAAAAAATTCGTCTGTCACATAGTAGTGTGGCACACTAGTCAGTAATCTGAACAGAATTCACGAATTTCCTTGTATGCAGCGTGAAGAATTTCCTTGAACCCAAAAATATAATTCCCGACCCTATTTCTAACTCAACGGCCAAAACAGCGCACTGCACCACACATAAAAGAACTCTACCGCTGAAATGCTGGTGTACGTTGAGTCCTCCGTCAGACACTGTAAATATTGTAAGAAATAAATAACAGTCGTGAAATTACTTCGCAAACTTGTGATAAGTTTGCGACGGGGTGGCCCAGTGGAGTTCAGAGTACCATGATTGACGCAGAGAAGCGCGGGTTCGATCCCAGGTCTGTGCGACAGTTTCTGGTCAGAATCGGCAAGGAGGCCGGACAGTTAAGCAAAGCAAAATTGAAGCAGTGAGTGGCTAGTTCGAGACCGCAAAATGCTGTGAATGTTCTGCGATGTAAAGAATCGGCGACAGGCCTACGGCCCATTAAACGCTGAAACCGCTATTATTATTATATATTATTATAAAGAGAATGACATTACTGTATGCCGTCGACTTCATCAGAACAGCATCGTTCCTATTTTGCAGAGGTCTTGGGTCGTCTGAGGTCCTATTTTCCCAGCAATGTCCCTAAACGCCGCATCATAAATGATCGGGTCGCATTTGTGGAGGTCTTCTTTCCTCACGTGAAATTTAGGACTGGTGTAAACGGCTTTGTGTAAGAGTGGGTAATGAGTCTCGAACAAATGGCCTCTCAAAAGGGGTTCATAGAGGATCAATATTAGTGTGAATATAGATTGCACAAATTGATGATATAGTAATATGAATGATTTACTTTCAGATCGGTTTTATTTATATTCACCATTGTTTCCCCTTCTCAATGCAAATTCTTCAAAATCCAAGGGCAAGGTGACCTACCGTAGTAGTTACAGAAGCAGTAAGATGAGGGTTCGATCTTGGCTACCTGCTACAGTTCTGGTCAAATCGGCGACGAGCGGCAGAGGAGCAGGGCGGTTAAGCGTATATCAAAATTAGGGCAGTGAGTTGCGTGTTCAAGACATTAAAATGCTGTGAAAATTCTGTGATGTTACGAATCTGTGACAGGTCTAATAGCCCATGCAGTGAACACTGAAACTGCTATATACCTATTACTATATTGACCGTCACAAATACCGATATAGGTAGCCCCCGCCATTGATACTGAAATATGTCGAGGTGAAAGCATTGTAATATTTATTTCCATATATTTATACATATTTGATTTTACTACGGGCATGAAAAAAGAAGAAGAAATATCAAAGTAAGAATAGGACTATGCAAAACAAGAAAACAATTGGTCAATGTAAAACCAACGAACGAAATTTAGATAAAGATATAGAAATAAACTAAAACATAGTCTTTAGATACTAACACTTGGATTTTACATGTTTATGAAACTGTTAAATTCTCAGACGTTTTCTTTGAGCATGAAGTGGTATACAATAGGAAACAAATAAAATTCGGAAATATATAGTCATTTTTTACACTAAACTAAATATCGCGCAAAAATTACGTAATATACGAATGCCGATTTAGTAAACTAAAAAATTAAATTTGTTCGCAGTTTGGGCAATAAAAATCGGCTGTATAATCAAAGTTATTATGAAGACATCGCGGACAAGTCCAATGAGGACAACCTTGCGTTTCGCAGCCAACCCACATTGCCTGGATGGCAATGTGGGTATGCCTGGATCAATGCACCAGGCATACATTAAAATTTGAGCCACTGTCAAAGGAAAACCTCTATTGGCCATATATTCAATGTAATTGCAGAGCGCCAGCTCATGCTCTGCCGACAGCGCGGTCGGTTTGCCTGGTGCACAGTCTTCCTTGACTCTCATCGAGAGGCGATCTGCGAGTGTCTTGCGTGGCACATTGAACGTACGGGCCGCGGCTGACGCAGGAAGATTCTCAACTCTGCAGGCGGCAAGAGCCCTCTCCATGTCCTCCTGCCTCCATAATCTTAACTTTGCTCCTTTCCTCAATGTCATCTTTAATGATACAAAATAATTATATAAACATGCGTACTTGAACAAATGCAAATATTGTAGTTACATAACACATAATATAATTTCATACGGAATGTGCTTTTTCGGAATCTATTTTTTTCGGAATTTTCTTTACGGAATCTTTTTGAATACGTTTATCCTCCTGAAATACACATCAAGTATTATTATAAGAGATTTCTCTGAGTAGTTAGCCTTATTAAGCTTATTTAGTAGAAAGACAACTCCGGTCTTGCCTATTCAAAATGTGCTCAGAGCAGCAGCTCTATGCTTAATGCTTGACCCTTTGTTCGCGCAACTCCAATCGTTGCAAGAGTATCGTGCTCAACTTTTGAAGTAGTTCTATAAGCTTTTAAAAGTCTAATTGCTATTAATCTGAGAATAAATATGGGCAATGAATGCTTCTTACAGTATTTAAGACCTAACTTAGATACAATTATTGCGTTGTAGGTATTAAAAAGTAATAAACATTTATCTTCAAATCCTGGCTCTTAAAGCAAATAACCATCACAAACTTCGCCATTTCTCCCAAAATTATAAACACATAAGTTGCCAGTTATGTTTGGGATAGATTATAAATAAATTTCCATATCATTAAAATCAGGGAGTACAAGCAAAACGAACCTCTGTTTACTGCGTTTCACCTCGGTATGACCCAAACTTCGAAGGGAAAACATTTTCGCGGAAATAAAGTATCGCCCAAACGCAGTTCATCAAGCAAAATGAAAAAATTCGTTTTGCTCAACGAATTTTCGTCATGTTGATTTGAAATCTCAAAACTAATAACAAATTAATTGTCGAAAATGCATTCTACTATCTTTAGGCAATATTAATAAATGTTCTAGTATTTTTCTATTGGGTCGATTTCGTATTGGGTCGATTTTAATAAATATTTCCTTTTCCCTGCAGCATGGCAACTTTAGTGAGGTGGCGACTTTAGTGGCATTGACGGTAGGTCTTGGCCATCTAGTGGGAAGAGAGACAATGCATGCCACGTGGACCGTGGTGAGATCATCGAAAAATGTGTCAAATTTGACAGTTGACATGGCTCTACCAAATAGTGAATAACTGTTTTTATAGGAAGAATATTATGGTTATTTTTTTTATAGTTTTTCATTTCTTGATGCGTCCTTAATGTGTCAGAATATACCGCGTTTACCCTATGGTTTACAAAAATCTGTTGACATTGATATCTAATGTAAATTGTTAAGAGCTACGGTAGACATGTGTTAATGCTACTAATTTATCATAAAAGTTGTATCCCCAACCCCATAAGTTTATGGTTTGTTTCAAGTCAAGTTCATCACCTGAAATGAGAATTTTCAAGTAAAATATGAAAACTAATGTCACGTGAATTCTCCATTGCAAGTTATGTAGGTAACAAAGTGAAAGTCTATGTGTGAAAAGTTTTTTAGGAGTTACAGCCATAAGAAAAAATTAATACATAATCATTACTTTGCTACAAGTTTATTCATTGATATTCATGTATCTAGTATCTATTATACAATTTTATTAAATTTAATAAGAATTTAGGCACATTTTAAGTCTAGAATGGCCCACAAAACGTTTCTAAAATAATTTCTCTATGAGGTATGGCATCAGGCATGTGACTTCACACGCAATACGTGTCGCTTGTGACGTTACCGCTACTGCCTAGCCTTGCCCTTCCATCACAAGTCACGTGACCCATTTCGGAGCTGTGACATTTCTAAATCAATATACTTTACCTGACTTCCGAGCCGCGAGATTTCAAACTTACCTAAAAATGGGAGATCTCGGGCCGCGAAATTTCCGTTAAAAGTAGATGTATTCCACCCCTGCTGCCTGCCTCCAACTCTTTAGTTGCAGTCAGGCCTGAATGAACATGGAGGCCTGTTCTCCATTTCCTGGATATTGTGATATTTGTGAATAGTTTTAATTTTGATATGTCATAGTTCTAATATGATCATCTTGAGATATGGAGTGCTAAGTGCTAACATCTTTAGCACCACTGCACCAGTGGCCTTAAGCTTGAAATATGAACATAGTGAAATGTCCTTGAATTAAAGTCATACTGGACTTACTGGTACTTGTAGCTATCACACTCTCAGTCTGTGTAACCTACAAAAGTAAGTCTTTGTCATTTTGTAAGTCATCGACCTTTTGCAACCTATGGAAGCAAGATATTTTACTATTCAATTCTTTATTTTTTAATATAATTTGTGGATTGCAATTTGCATACATTGTGTTGTATATGTGAATGTTATATTGTACGGTATTGCCTTACCAACTCCACCCCTCAGGGGGGACTTCTGACGGGTGTCTGTGCTCGTCAGAAGTCCTATGGGATTTCGCGCTCCTAGGGGGATTGTTCCTGAGCGCCCCACCGCTGAGCTCGCGGTGTCTGACTGCAGGTCTCAGTTGTGGGGTTAAGTTATTATGTAGGTAGGATTCCTTACATTTCCCTTCTCTGTCTCTCTCGTGCGGGCGGCCGACGTCCCGTGTAAGCGACCTCTTGTTCGAGTGTCTTCGTTTCTGTTGCTTTTCACCTGTCCCTCCTTGTCACTTCGTCTCTTTTGAGATGCTAACGCTGCTTCCTTCGAGCCAGCTTCAGCGGGCTGGACATCTGAGACCTTCCGCCCCTTGTGGGTGATGAATAATTGAGACCTTCCGCCCCTTGTGGGTGATGAATAATTGAGACCTTCCACCTTTATGGTGATGTTCATCTTGACTTTCAGTGCGAGATAGCTTAATAGCTGAAGCGCTAGTAAACATTTGGACACTAAACTAAAAACTAAACTAACTTACCAACTCCAAAAAATGGAGACTTGCTCCCACTTGCTGCTTTGAAAATTGAAACTTGTAAAGTTATAACTGTCATTCCAAATATGAAATCTAAAAAATAATTGAACTTTGAAATGTTTGTTTGAAGTTAGCTTTACATTTAATATAAGAATTTTAGGTGACAATTTGTCTTTTATCAGAAATTAAATTATATAAATTCCTAACTTCAGCAGTCAGAAGTCCTGTCTCCTGTCACTACTCCAAAAAGGGTGACCAAAACTGAGCACCTTTTTTGATCTACAAAATTTATCAAACTTCAGCAATTCTGCAATAATGGAAGAAAATGTGGATTGATTGATTTGAAAATTAGTCATGAAAATTAATAGTTGGAAGGCTATCAAATTCATCCTGTTTGAGGAAAGGGATTTATAGTATGGCCTGAGAGCATAGTTTTAGTTTATAGAGTTCATTTAGGATGTTATCTTTGCTGGCTAACAAATAATTTTTTGTAAGGTTTTGTTTTAATGCTGCACGTTTTTGACCAAAAAGTTGGTCTTTCATAATAGTGCAATGAATGGCTATTATTGGATAATTTTTCACCTTTCTACAGATTTGTAAATAAGCCAGTAAAAATTACTACTTCAATTATGGATTCTGACAATAGTTATAAGTTTTTAAAGAAGCGCCATGTTGCTTTCTTACGTCGATGTTTATCCATCCTTCCATCCAGTACTGTGACTTACGACACTAGCAGGTATGAAAATTCATTCAATTGGTAAGAATTTTATTTGTATTTCAACTGATTTCAAATGTTTACCACCTATAAAATAAATTTATATGCATTAATATTGGATGTAAATTGATAATTCTCACAGAATATTTGTTAGCAGGTTCAATGAACAGCTTAATGTGCTATGTTAAAAAATATAATGCTACTGTTGCCATCAACATTTTCTATGCATGCAAGTTATGCTTTGTTTTAAAATACTAACTACAGCATTATTTACAGAATGACTGTGCTATACTTTGCTCTTTCTGGACTTGATGTGCTAGATGCTCTGGATGATATTCCTCAGACGGAAATAAAAGAAATAATTGAATGGATCTACACTCTCCAACTCACAACTAATGGTAAGTCAGCAGTCCAATTTTTGTGAAGCATGGCAGGTACCTACATCAATTTAAGTTGCTCTCAAAGATACGTAGTTAACTCCAAAATGAAGAATATCCTCAAGATTAGTTTGTCATGAATGTTGGCAGTGATGTGAATCTCAAATTTTCTTTCATGCTGCAAATAAGTTGCATTTTTCTGCATAGGGTCTTTGTCTAGCCTCAATTCATTGAGTGGAATTTACTGTAGTAGGTACTGCAACAAATGTGTGTAAACCCTGAATGCTATTTTAAAATGTCTTGACAGTGATGAACCCAATAACTAATTGGTTTCTTGACTTTTTGACTTTACATGGCTACTGTATTTGAGATACAAACTTTGACATCTAATCTAAATGCAGCCTAAAGGGAAAGCAAAATTGGACATTGTGGTTAATGCCAGTTTACTGGCAATAATTGCTGATATCTTGCATGAACTGTCTCTTGAAACACCTTGCTCTGGTGCTTGATCACTGGAAAAATTGCTTCTCAACTAAGTTCTCTTGCAATTTAGGTATCCATTAAGAACAAATTAAATTGCTGCCAAAATGTATATACCTATATATTTCACTAAATTTTTCAAGCACAGCACCAAGATTGAAGAGGAGAACTTATTGTTATTCAAATTTTTTAAGTGGTGAGAAATTTCTTTCAAACAGCATCTGAGTCAACAATGTTTTACCTAATCAGTGAATTGAAGTTGATCTGTTATTGATTTTTACATTCTGCATTTTGTTCTTAATACTAGTGATTAAAACCAATGAAATGCTTCCACCAAATGTACCATAATGCACTAAGCACTCTGACTATCTTCAAAATTTTGTCAAACCAAGCTCATATTTGAACAAAAATTGCTCAGTACTATATATTGCTTCCAAAATTCATCAATTAAAATGAGTAGATTATCTTGACGGCAATGAATGCCTGAGCTAATGCTTCTTGTCTAACTTGATAATCTGTAAGTAGTTTTTCCTCTTGAAAATGTTTACATCATAACTTTGATTAAACCAACTTGCCTTGACTGAGCCTATTGAGCTGATGACCCTTATCATACTTATATCTTCATTCTTATACAATTTTTGTAATTACTTTTCCAGATGGTTACAAGTATGGTGGCTTTCGAGGAGGCCACTGCATCAGCAACATCTTCTGCTCTAACACAAAAAATGAACTCTTATCTCAAGATGTTCATGCTATCTCTCATAATCAAGCTGTCTCTCGCAAAGAATGCAATAGTCACAACAGTGCAAATGGCAAAGACAACTCTTTAGAAATTAGAATCAATGAAGGGCAAATTCCTGCAAAAATTCTCCGGCAATTTGCACCAGCTCGTCTTGATAATCCTCCACCTATGCAGCTGCATCAAAACTATGAAAAAATCCCCATTAAGTCTCAGTCATCTTCCATGAATAGTAGTGAACAAACTAGTTTTTCAAAACACATAGATCGAGATTTAGACTCGGCTCACATAACAATGACTTACACAGCTTTAGCCTCTCTTGTGCTGCTGGGTGATGATTTAAGTAGAGTTGACAAGCCTGCTGTTTTGCGCCATGTTTCTTCTCTCCAGTGTTCCAATGGCAGGTCTGTAAATTTGAAAAATACAATTGATGCCTGATATGCCGTTCTGATACCACCTTCCTCTAATGTCCGAGCTGCCTTATGATTCAGAAGTTGATGCAACATGAGAATATTACCACTGTATGTTTCAATTTTGTTGTCTTCCTGATGTTGGCAGTAAGTATGGTTTTATTCCTGCAGCTTTCTGTCTAATTCTGGTGGCAGTGAAAACGACCTTCGGTTTGTTTACTGCGCTGCTGTTGTCTGCTATTTACTGGGTGACATGACTGCCATCGATGTACCTGCAGCATTACGTTATGTTGCTGACTGTTTGGTGAGTGCATTTTTTGCTGATAAAATTTGCTAAATGTAATGCTTAGTGACGTTTTTGCTGTGTCAAGCATTTTTTATGCAGAAAAAAATACAACATTCATCTGCTGCATTTCCAAATTTGCATTTTTTACTTTCAAAATTGATTGCATAAGCTTATACTTTTTTCTATTTCGAGCAGGGTTATGCCGGATCCCTGGGACAAGGAGCCTTGCAGGAGAGCCACGGTGGTAGCACGTATTGTGGGGTGGCTGCCTTGTACCTCTTTGGTGCCATACAGCCTCTTGATCTTTATCTCGATGACGCCCCCAGCAGGACAGGTCAGTATTGTGGGGTGGCTGCCTTGTAACTCTTTGGTGCCATACTCCCTGTGGATTTTCATCTCGATGACAGTTCCAGCAAGGCTCAATAATATGAAAACAGCCATTTCTACTTTATTATTTCCTGAAGTTATTTTATCGGTTGTTTAGGTGCTATTTCGTCAGGTTAGTAATAAGCTCGAGTGAGTTACTGAGGCAGCTTTCAAGGTCTGTATATTCAAGGTTAGCAGTAGAGGTTATAGACACATGAGTAAATTATAACAATAATTATTTGAAGTAAAGTACAGACAGACAAGTACAGGAAATTAGGAGTGCGTTACCAGGACTAGACCCGTTCAATGCTCCCAATCATGGCCGCTACTTTCTTTCTGGCACCGGTATTGAATTTTCGTGTCGTTTCTCGCGAGAAAAAATGGCCTGTTATTTGGCTTCCTGTGAATCCTCCGGGTCGCGTGGACTTCCCGTGAAGAAACTCCACCTTTTCGATGACGCGCCCGTGCGTAGCTAGACTTGTAATTTTCGCTAGAGTTCATGCTGAGACCCGAGGAGTCGTTGAGACCTGAGCGTGGTCGTTTGATTTTGCAGCGCTCTGGCGTCAAAAGGACTGTCGGGCTTGAAGGTTTCCTTGGCAGCCTTTGCTATTTTGTGGCTCAATCGGATAAAAATTTTGGACAGTATTCAATTTTCACTCAAGCTACGTCGCTCGTACATAAAACATACAATGAGCTCTTCTCGTCCGTTATACTCACGCACAGCCCGTTGTCTACACTACTTTTACCACTGGCACCGTTCTCGCTGCTTGACATATGCCGCCCGCAGGCTCTCAGCTCCAGCCTTGAACTGACCACCGAGCGCAATCCTAACTGCTTATTTACTTTGCTCCTAAAACTTAGCCTTAATTATTGTCTCACACGCAGTTAATTACTCTTTATAATTCTAGATATAACTCGAAATATAATTCGTAATTCCTGCTCTCTAATAGGGCTGGTCGTATTATGGGGTGGGTGCCGTGTTCCTCATCGGTGCTGTACTATTCACCACTTACGTTTTATCTAATTTTATTGTTCAAATTTGCCAAAGACATTGTTTACAATAGATTATATCGAATAAGTCGAGTTCTCACCAGCTGGAATATTGTTTTCTCAGATTGATTTTAGCTTCTGTTAAATTATTTATTCCAGAAGTTCTGTTAACTTATTTAAAATCAGAGTTTAGCCTTGAAAAAAACCTGATATAAGCTCCTCGTAGTCACTGAACTTTGAAGCTAAGACCCAGAAGTTTTGGAAGTCTCGTGCATTTGATTGTTGAACAAAAAAGTTGTTTAATTGTCGACAAATTAGGTTGCTGCTTAAAATTAAGACTCCATGCTGTGTTCTGAACGCCAACAGTGACGACAACTTCGAGTGCCTTCAGTGAGAGAGAAATTCGGGCTCTGGTGCGGTGGCTTGTGATGAGGCAGGAGGATGAGTCAGGACGGGTTTACACAGGCGGTGAGATCGCTAATTGATGTTAAATTTGCAACTGTCCTTATTTTCAACACCAATATAATAACTTTAATTCTATAGTTGTAGATGTAGAGTAACGAGCTAACAATCTAATAGTTTGTGACTACGTGCACAAAATTAAAACCTGCTTTTAAACTATCATTAAGTTTTCAAAACTCTTTGGTGTAAAATTTTAGGCCTCATCGAATTGTGATTAAAATGAAACGTGATTTTGGATTGAAATTGATTAAGGACTTAACTGTATTGCAGATGTTAATGAGCTTGCTGGAGGCTTGCAGGGCCGCCCGAACAAACCAGCAGACACGTGCTACACCTTCTGGATCGGTGCCGCGCTTAAAGTGAATAGCCGACCTCAGTTAAAGTTTTACGAACCTGTCATGATGTCAAAACACGCCATTATTTTTTGAATAATTATTGAGAGAATTCTTCCTGGCGTTATATGAAAAACTAGGACAAGAAACTAGACTGGTTTAAATGATTTGGATCATTCACTGGTGGTATTTCGACTTGTATTCATCTCTACTTTGAGTGGTTGAATAGCGCACGATATTAAATCACGTTGAGCCAATGCTCTGTCGAGCATGTTGCGTACCGCGCTATGCTATCACAGATCTCTGCAGGGTATCATGCCAAAAAAATACTAAAGTTTGAATTTATCATGAGGAGAGTTTTTTTGCATGTAATAATACTATTCTCATTTTCCAGATGCTTGGCTGTGAGGACTTGCTGGAGAAAAGAGCGCTGCAGCAGTTTGTGTTGAGCACTCAAGACCCCGTGACGGGTGGACTGGCCAAGTACAGCAACGGGCAAGTGGACGGCCTGCACACGTACTTGGGCATCAGCGGACTTGCTGTCTTGGGCCTGCAGGACTTGAGGGAGGTGCACCCGGCATTGAATATTACCAAGAGAGCGTACTTGCATTGGCAAACATTAAACATGGACAAGCGGTAACTGGTAATGACCGCTGGCTGGTCATTACCAGTTACCGTATAGAAGTAGTGAAGTTATAGAAGTAATGAGTTTCATCGGTGTAGAGCACTGAAAAATTTGTCACAATACAAGGTACAGTAAGTATGTAAGTACAGTTATCAAAAAGTGTCCTTGCCTTGTTTTATGAAATAATTAAAATTGGTTATTGGAAGCGGAACTACGTCTCCCAATGATACAGATTTTGAGCCACTGTTTAAGAATTCTTCACGTTCTGCAGATTTTTATATATTCTAAATAGATGTTTATATGAAAGACTTAACTGTGCCTTTTACAATTGAAATGCTTTCAACGTATATTTTTGACATAATTAACCCATTTCACGAAAAGCAATGGTCGCATGCACGCCTACCAAAAGTAAGCATCATTGGGAAAGCCAATGGACCGCTAAGTTGTGCCGTCAACTGAACTCATGAGGTTTGAGTGCTAGTAGATCGTTTGGACGATTTCTTTTTTAGCATCAACTGCTTGTTTTGTGCAGCTGGTGCATGATTCAAACCCAACAAATAGCACTATTTTATAGCATTGCAAGACGCATTGTTATGATTATTCAATCGGCCAATTATCTCTTGTTCACCTACACATGCAGACGATATTGTTGTGCTCGTTGTTTTTAAGTAGTGAACAATCAATATGTTAATTGAATTTTGTGAGCGCAACTGTCGTCAGTAACCATGGAGCATCGAATCTAACCGACATCTACTTCGTTATTAAGATTTTGCAGAGTAAATTTACCGCGAGTGCAGAATCGACATGCTCCTCCCTATGCGCTTCATTGTGATACAAATATTCCTTTTATTTAGATATTAGTGCAATAGTGGTGACTTCAGTGTACTATCAGTGGTGTTTGTAAGTTAAGAATTCGTGGGAGGTACTGTACAGTTTATAAACATGGCCATTATTTTACGAGTAGTTGGAATCCACACCAGAGAGATTAAGAGGTCATGGCAAGTCACTTAGTTAAGAGGCCATGGCAAGTCATCGTAATGAAGTCACTCATGCCTCGTGATATGGTCTTTGCTTACTCACTAAGCTCGTGTGGGATCAAGCGCTTCATATCGGCCTCTGTGACGTCGGGAGCAGGAAAGTTACTTTTTCAAGCACAACTCAAATTGGTAGAACTAAATAGCTAACGTCAATACAGTGAGCTGATGTATTGCACAACGTGAGGTTCCCTACATTCAATTTCATGCTTTTATTACAAGTTAAACACTTGCTACAATTAACTCCATTTGTATTTAAATGACGCAAACTCGCTGAAGAAGCTTTAACTGTTCCTGATCAGTGTTTACATTAAACGAAAAATAGTCGTTCGAAAATATCACGAAAAGGGCAAAATTATATAAAAATCATCAAATATAGATTTATTGGGGTTCCACGAGTATTCTATATCCGTGCTAAGTGCTTATACATCACATTTCACAGATGTCGCGTGTTCATTATTCTGTGCACTACGTTATGGATAGGTCAAAGCAACCGTGCAATCCGCTCAGTATTGGCCACACAACTTGTCAAAAGCCCGTTTTTTTTCTATTCAAAAATGCCAGATTGGTGCACAACATCTTTCAAAGGTTATTTACATAACAAGCTTACCCAATAAAGTTTTTCTATTAACGACCTTAAGCCTTGCGAGAGTCGAGCCCAGTGGCTGAGGCCAGTGATCAGACACGCCTGTTTCGTAACGTCCCGGCGATGCAACAAGAGCTTCTTCATAAGCTTTTTGCATCATTTGTCAAGCATGTCCTTGGCTTCACTGATCTTGCTGCTGAGGTACGGAGAGCCTCCTCGGTCAGGGTGGTTGGTCAACATCAGGCGTTTGTAAGCAACCTGCAAGAATCAATCTCATGGTCGTTCTACAATTCGTAAGCATAATACTGCAGCGTTCGGAGCGAGGAATAACAAAAAATATTCATCAATCTCACGGTCGTTCTACAATTCGTAAGTATAATACTGCAGCGTTCGGAGCGAGGAATAGCAAAAAAAATATTCATCAATAGCACTAAATCCTTATAAGCCCCCAAATGAACTGACCAGAAACTAGTATTTTAAGGACGAATTATTGAAGGCATGAGACATTCTTAAATAAAGGACCCTCTAAGACATTGATATTATAAGACTTGATAGACAAACATGATATATTGATTGGAAGACGTACAAATCAATAGGATTTCCTATTTAATGGGTTCCAATCCCCTTACACGTCAATGCAAACGGACTGCACTTTACTCACCTTGACTTTAGCCGGAGGCGCAGTAGGGCTCACTCCCAGGATGAGAGATGCTTCTCGTTTAGTCATTTTAGGCTCAAAGCCTCCCTTGTAGTATTTGCTGCTGGCGAACATCTGTGCACAGTCATGATCATAACTCGACACTTCTTACTGACTCACATCACTATTATACTCTACGACAAGTAAAATGATACCTGACTTATTCCATAATAGGAAGAATAAGTTAGCTATTTGTTTTGATTTGGTACAATAAATTTGCTTCTAAGTTGAGAGGCCAAACTAGGTGTAATAATTACATAATATCTAAAACTAATCCATATTTTCTGAATGAAATATTATCTTGTACGTATCAGATAATATGGCGCAAAAAAGATAGTGGTTATACATGCGTTTTGAGAATACAGTCAGTTCCAAATTTGCATTTTGAGTTTCAAGAGCAGAATAGCTTTAACACTAGTACAGCTGATACACGTGCGACAAAAAACCTCCAAAACCTCCTGAGTGACAGAAAGCGCATTTTCTCGTCCGTCCGTGACGTGAAGTCACGGACGTACGTAAATGACGAGCACAATAGCGCCTTTTTCCATAAATGAAAAAATGCGCTTAAAAAATCAGATTTAGCAGGTCTTTCCTAATTTCACATTCTCACTATACAGCATTCCTAACCGACATTGGTTAGTGGCATCTTATCATTTTTTTCATGTGGCATTGCATGCTAGCGTGACACAACATAAGCCTACCTCGCCATCCAGCCTGGGCATGCTAGTGGCAGCGTTGGCCATCTTCTGGCCGAGGTTAGGTATCGTCCTGAGCATGAATCGAGCGCCGAAGCCCACAGCCGCCATGCCCAGCCCGGCGACTATCAGGGTACCGGCCTTAACATATTCAATCAATATTAAACACTCAATTACTTCAGGAATATAGCGATTAAATAAACAGGCAGCCGTTGTATCTGTAGTGAAGACATTGATAGCATGCAGGAAATAATGTCGCACTTGATTATAATACAATACTATCATTAAAAGTATTCATATTAGATCACAATGATTAGATAACATTGTATTGATAACTAACAATAAATAAAAAGATAACCAAAATAGTATAGCAGGAAGGAATGATAGAATAACAGAGCAGCACTATTGTCCATTTTAATTAAAGACCGGCATGACAAGACGATTGAAAATAAAATACTAACATTGGACATGGACGTGAATCAATTATCAAGAACGGCTATATTAACTATTAAAAATCGCACATGAACAAATATTATTATATGATGATCTATTTAACTGAAACTTTTTAAGATAAAATTGGTTTTCCGTCTGATGCGTTCCTTGTGAAATGAAGATCAGGCTCAAGTCGAATGGAACTTATATATATTCTTTGTCTTGGATAAATTGTCTGTTGCAATGCACAACACAGCAGCATTTAAAGAAACATTGAGTGCTTTTGCAGCTGCATTATTCAATAATAGATTAAATGGTTAAGCGGCAGAAAGTGTTCACCAATAAAATGAATAGTTGTGTAGCAGCACTAGTTAACTGAAGAGAAAATGGTTCTGCGTCAGCAATATTTAATAATATATTAAATGGTTCTGTAGCAGCAATATTTAATAATATATTAAATGGTTCTGTAGCAGCAATATTCAACAATATAACAAATGGTCTTATAGGCTGTGGTTACCCACCATGCTTGGCCCGTGCACGACAGCAGCCTTCCTGGAATCGCTGTCCAGATTGCCGAATAATTCTTTTGAAATATACTCTCAGAATAATCTGAAACTTAAGTCTCTTTAGTATACACCTGAAAAAATATAGGACTAAACGTTAGGATAAAGTTTCATTCACACATCAATTGCTCGAAGTTACATTGTTCAAAACTCAAAAACATGCGTGCTGGGTCCAAGCCAGAGATTTGAACCGGCCCAATTTATCCCAATTCAATTTGCTTAATTGTCAGATGATTTAAGTAGCTTTGCTTCTTGTATTCTTCTACAATGAACTCGTCTCAACTATATCAATAGTTCTGAACCATACTTAAAAATCATTAATAAAATAATATCCGGCTCCAATGACTGTCATTGCAGACTATTTTGTTAATAAACCGAACAACCACAACACAACCCAATATAATAATATACACAATAAAACCGAAAAGATGAACAACCCAAACTTGAACAAAATGCAACACCAATTTCCGAGAAAAAATGTACAAATTTTAGAAAATCAGAATGCCTTCAGTTGGGCCATCTGATGTCCTCAGTGGCACAGCTGTTGTCCTCAGTAGAGTATGTCACAATCCTAATGGAAGGATTGACCATAGGATAACGGAATACATCTGGGATCCGCGAAGAAGGTTATAATAAATGAATATAGAAAAAAGAAAACTTTGATCTATATTTCCTCCTAGAGCTACACAATGATTAGAGTTCAACTGCCGGAGCCTTGATATTTAAATAATACACCAAGACACACAGTCTCATTCAACACGTCAGCCAAATACCAGTTGTATTCCTTTTGTGTTATTAAAATATAATATCAATAGAAGATACCTTAAACTGTAGTTGAATATCATGTGTTACCACTCACCAGCAGCCTAATTATTCCATCAATATTATGTCAATATATTACTAAACACTTCTATTAGCAATGAAATTACAACAGCAGTTGCTGTTAATTTTTTTCAAAAACTATACTGCCTAATTTGTCGTAATACATGTGATTATATGGAACAAAACTAGAAGCGAAATTTTTAGCAAAAAATAAAAAAAAATTAGTTTTGATCAGAAGTCACGAGCATCTCGCTTTGACGATCACTGCGTGCAAAGCAATTGGAGTTTCCACCTCAGCGCGTCTACCAATTCTAAGTCTACCACAGCGCCATGAAGGTGAAGCCTACGCTGCTCCGTCCAGACACTGGAGAGGAGCGGTGAGCAACATTTTGCATTACCTGATCCACCGCCGACTATAAACACAGTGAAGAGCAGCACTGCAGTCTCAGCAGCGGATGGTTGCTTGGAACTCTTGGTGTAGTAGAAACTTTCTTCGCGCAGTTCCCGCCGACAAGGTCTTTGAACATAAAACTGTTTACTAGGATAAATCATGCACATACCACCCATCGAGACATTTTGACGGTAGACATACTTCACTTTCTGAAGTAGAATTTTTAGAATCTCATTCGTGAATTACCATTACACGTCGAATAAATAAGCAACAATGAATGAACTTGGTCCCTCACCCTAATAAAGAAAACTGATTTCCTCAATCTTTCTCAGCCACGTAAGCTCTATTGGAAAACCTAACTCCGATGACCATCCTATCGAAGCAGCCATGCTCCAGCGTCTCTATCGCTCGGCTCCGCTGAGCAAGTGCAGCTCCCTCGCATCCTCCTTGCTGAAGATAAGGCGCACCCCAAGGCCCATTTTCCAACTCACTGCCTCTTCTTGCGCTTCCTGCTCCAGGGCCATCCTAGTCTCCTCTTAGTGTAAGACTCGGCTTTTTGGCAACATTGCCTTCCTTCGCCCATGTCCTCCCTCGTCCGCCACCAGAGACGCCACGCAAATGAGGGTAAATACCAACGTTACAAATAATAATTACCACATCACAACTTCCATGAATGCGAGAAGACACTAACGCAAATCTGAATGAATAGGATTCTCAGTCTGAAGATAACTAACATATGAAATGCAAGGTTTATGAAAAATACTCAAGTTGAATTATTATGGCCGAAGCATTTAACTTACCTGAAAACGAGAGCACACCAAACAGCTGGGGAAATGGAATCAATATCATACTTGGAAACTTACAAGACATCCTTCGACCTTCAGAGCAGAGAGCTTACTTGGGTCCGACTTAACTTGAGCGCCTCATTATTAAACACGAGATTAAATTTGTGAACTAATGAGAATCCTTAGGTTGAATCGATATCAATGGAATAACTTTCGAAATAGGAAGCAACTTCGAGCAATATTTTTGCGACAGTTCCGGTGTTGATCATGGTACACAATTATGATAGAAGTACTTTACTGCGTACTTCTCTTTATTTAATGTCAAATGTCGCCTTACATGTCTTGATCATCCGAACTTTTAGAACGCTGCCCCGGTAAATACAAGGCTGCCAAGAGAAAAATACACAAAATGTTTTGAGACTATGGCTTGTTTAAAAGAAGCAAGGGCGAGCGAACGTTCATGAAAAGTATGAGACTTACTGTAACAGGATGAATTTCAAGAGATAAAACAAGATTTTGATATTGAAAATTAAAATGTTCAGAAATGAAAAAATTCTGAATTAAATATGCTACTGAGATGCTGCAAGAAAGAATGTGTGCAAAATAAATCTGAAATGAAAACTAATTTCATGGATTCATTATTTAGCTATACACGCTGACTACTTGATGGGTGACACAAGTGCAGACAATACTTTACGAGATGAACGGCGTAACGTTGACCCCACTCCGGCTCTTACCAAAAATAATAATTCAGGTATTTTTTTGAACATGAAGCGATCTTATGCTCAATCGAGTTGCATATAAATGTCTTCAGCCGGATATGGAGATAATCTTGTGTTAGATCCATTTGAAGACTAAGGAGAACCTGATTGATACGCAACAAGGAACCAAGTCTTGGTCAGTCATCGGAATCTTGGTCACAATCGCATCAATCATTTTCGAACAGAAACTACTTACCTTACCTTCGTCATTTTTGATTACAGCACAACACATACGAAGCCCGGGTGAGGTTCCTGCCTAAAGTCATGAATTCAAAGCAGCGTGGCCGTGAAAGGAGACGTCCGGAATTCATATGAATTGAAGGCGGCGATCCAGCGAGGCCGTGATAGGAGACATCCGGAACTCAAATGAATTTCCCAGTTTGAAATGAATTTTCACGTCCCAGTTTGGCCGTGGATGGAGACGTCCGGAACTCGTATGAATGGAAGACGGCGTCCCAGTTTGGCCGTGGATGGAGACGTCCAGAATTAATCTTAATTGAAGGCGGCGATCCAGCGAGGCCGTGGAGGGCGAGGTCCAGAACTCGTATGAATGGAAGGCGGCGTCTCAGTGTGGCCATAGATGGAGACGTCCGGAACTAATACGAATGGAAGACGGCCCAGCGTGGCCATGGACGGAGACGTCAGGAACTCGTCACAGGACGATGAGACCGACAATGAGAAAGTCGTCTTTTTTCACTTCAACAGTTATTAACAGTTATAACAACATGTATCTGCCTAAGATCCCTTGTGTATAGGAGGCTCCGGTTTCATCGCAGGATCCTAATGATCGATCCGATCCTAATATTTTTATCTTAATTGATGAATGAAATGCCACTTCTGCGTGAAAATAGAAAAAAGTAATGTGCATTCACATTTTATTAAAATCATAATACAAGCTTTACTAGTGAAACGAGTTTTGTACACATGGCGGTGGCATATATAAGACAGCTGCAGAAGCAAAAGTTAGATGCAGGACGAGAAGTTGATTCCACATAAGGAAATATCGAATCTAATAAGAATAATATAGTACGAAAAGAATTTTATGGATCCTAGACCTTAAATATATTTCTGTTGAGAAGTGTCAGCACGAGGGTAATTTTTGACCTACCTGAGGTGATGTAGAGCCGCAGGCTAATCAGTTCATAATATATTGTCCACAAATTTCAACACAGACTCGCAAATTAAATCACTACGGGATGGTGGGAGATTTTTCGAAAACTAGAAAAGAAATTTTCATTCGAAGATGAAAACAGGAATCTGTGTAACTCAAACGAGCGTTTAGACTATTACGCACTTTAATTAGATAACGGAAACTTCATTATACAATAAATAGTCTAACAAAACTCTGAAGTTGGTACTTACGGGCATAGTACAGTAATAAGATGAAGAATAATTTGTGGTACTATTTAGGTTTACCAGAAATTTCGTTGAAATGTATTCGGTGTTTTCTAAACTGAATGCACAGTTATAAAACTCAAAAGAGAAGAATTACCAGATTTGGCCGTTGCGTCTAAGCACAATACCACATCCTTAAATATTTACAGTTGTTCCTTGTAGAGCGATTGCGTCCGAAGCAAGGATAACAAGTCGCAAACTTTTTCAAAAATCGCTGGCGGATGATTCGAGAATTTCGGACTGGTTACCCAATTTAAACAGTTATCCATTTACCACCGGATAAAATATACTTGAGAGAATCTCAAACGGAGTGTGGTAGAAGATTAAACGAAATTGATAGTAAATTTCATTGCTACGACTTGAAGAGAAATGCCTAGAGAGTAATGAAACTTTGTTCATTCTTCCACACACGTTCCAGAACTATTTTCTTCGAAGTCCCAGAAATGCGTCGAAACGCGACGAAATTTACTTAGAATTAAATTCTCAGTGGAGATCTCGAAGCCAGAAAATTGATTGACTTCTCTGAAGAAGCGAGGAATATTTCTGAGGCGCTCCACAGAAACATTATTGTGCAAGATGAAGGGGCCTGATGCGTTTTTTCTTGTACAATCGGGGAGAAAGCCGTGAGCACAATTCTGTAGAGAAAGACAAGGAAAATGGGACTCCATGAACGATCTCGTGTAAACCAATAAGCGTCAAATAAACAACAGCTGGAGATTTGTACTTGGAACGAAGGTGTATATGATTAGAGCTTGTATGAATAGTTTGTTCTCTCTGGAAATGAATCTCCGTGCAAATATAATGTCGCCACAGGAAACCTGTATTAAATCAATAAAGGTAAGCCGGTGTCCAGTCTGAAACGATGTATGAAATAATATAATTTTTGTCGGAATTCTTTAGTATAGTTGAATAGCGTCAATCTGCAAGCATAAGGTTTCACTCATCCTCTACCAAAACAATCGTAAGATTTTATCGGTGTCGAAAAACTCGACTAATGTTTACGCAGCACAGAAACTCAGCAAACCATAATCGCCTCGGTTCGCGGACAAGAATTAGTTTTGGAATACTTGTATAAAAATGTAGCGGCCAACTTCGCATGCTTGTCAGTCGAGATATTCTTCAAATTAGTCTGTTTTCGGTCTCTGATAAATTAGATGTAGTGCTAGTTAACTTTATATCGCGATAGGTACCATACTTGGACAAAGTTACATTCATATCTCGAGTTGGGATGGAGTGGTATTTCGAGCGGCCCAAACATAGCAGCGCTCTGATCGCTTGACGTACTCAAACCTCAGCCAATCGCCATCTATGTTACTTTTAAATGTTAAAACCAGTGCTCAAGTGAAGAAGCATAACTGTTTCACTTTTCCATTTGTCTGAGAAGTATTTCTGTCATTTGTACGTTCGAGAATTAAAAAAAAACATTTATATGACCATAATAGCGTCAAGGCGGACTTGAAAAGTGAGTCGTCTTAAAAATAATTTATTAAATGAAGTCCAGAAATGATCCCATCCGCGGTTTCAGCGTGCTGCTTGAACCAGAGGTGAGTAAAGAAAACTCGGAGCGAATTGACAGTGAAGTCAATTTTTAATAACTTGGAGGTACCAGCATCGAATGTATCAAGGTAATGGATGGAAACGTGAATATAACAAGAGAAGACCGACCGAGTCTTCTAGAATTGTTTGAGAATTCAATATTGAAATTTTTTATGCGAGGATTGTTAATCATGAACTACGACTGAAAACCGACATCAATGTCGAGTCAACTACCACGATCGGAGATCGCGTAATTGTCCATTTAATTTCGATTTTCAAAAATAGTAATTAAAGCTTCCGAGCATCACGACCAGGATGATGAACGAACATATTGCGAGAAATGCAGAACCTCAGCTTAGCGCAGTCACGATATTCATTTTGACGTTGTCTCCCCTGTTTGAGGATTGTACAGAAAAATTAGAAATTTGGCATTTGATTTGAGTTGTTTTAACACTTCAGCTAGGGTAGTGCATTACATATCAAATATTTGCAAAACTTAACAATTGCAAGGCTTAAAGCTGGCAGTGCAGCTTCTCTTATACCACTTAAAGTGCTAAATAGTTTGTTAAAAGGTTCCTTCCACCAGCCACATAACTGATTCAGAATCTCGATGACTATACTTCGGAAACGGGTTCCCAGCTAGTCTTCTCGATCTTTGCTTCGTAATCTGACAAAGCATTTTGTTGAATTTCCCAGTTCTTTATCAATTCTGATGCATTGAAATATTCGGTGAAAGGATTAATTGAGCATATAACTCTATACATTATTGTGCGCAGATGTCATAATGCGGAAGTCCTCAACCTTTTTCAACTACTGTACTGGGGCCGGATTATCAAAACTTCGTAACTTTTTGTACTTGCGACAAAAAAATACGTGTTACGTAAGTATACCCTAATTTTGGCCTTATCAAAACATTCGTACGCAAGTCTTAGCTAAAAGCGTATTATCAAAACCATCTGGCTAACTGACCAATCAGAGGCGTTGGATTTGCTCTTCCTATAGCTCCAGTAACCTCCTCTCGAGCAGTGCGCTGTGCGCTTGGACGAAAGTAGGATGTGTGGTGTCAGCGGCATTTGCGGTGCCTGACTAGGGTGTATTTGAATAAATGAGTGAGACGTTATCCAAATAGCAATGCACTTGTTGTTGTGATCATTAACCGAATTTCTTGCAATAAGGGCAAATAAATGCATTATTCAATTGAAAATTAGAAGAATTTTTTAGAAGGTTACAAAGAATTTAGAAAATTTCGTGAATTGAAGTAGCGACTGTCATAAAAAGAAATAAATTAATTTACAGAGAACTAGAAAAATGGTTGGCCTGTCAACCTCAATATAATTTTGAATAAAAAATGCATTAAGATAATGTGCAAGTGAATGACTTGAACTTTAGGATATGAATATCAACATTCGCTTGCAAATTATAGCACAAAAGGCAATTTACATTTTTATCCCAAAAGCACCGTTTAGCACGATCACATATTATGTCGGATTATTGACAAAATTCTATCACAATTCACCGTGTTGCTACTTGATAGTAAATCAATAGTTTCCTATTGCTTCAGCAATTAGCAGACACTCTTAAACTTGTGCAGAACTCCACTTAGATCTCCGAGCAGGCGTACAGTTACGTTACGTAGCTTCCCGCGCAAATGTTTTGATAATACCACTGCAAGAGTTACGTCATCATATCAGCACTTACGCCACTCGTAAGTCAATTTTGCGTACTTACGAAGTTTTGATAATACGGCCCTGTGAACGACTGTCCTAGCCACTGATTGTAGATGCATTCTATAATTTTCCGACCCAAGATGGAGCTGGACTCCGAAAAGTTTATTGTTAAGATATGATACATTTTTGTGGAATTTTCTATGTTTCTAAATTCTTATTTTTTTTCAAGTAACATTGTCACCCATCTATGATTCCGTACTAATTAGTGGATGTTAATGTGCGATTATAAGTGGAATATTTTTCCCGTTTACGCGAGAAAAGTTTCAAGCAAATTCAGTCCTTTGGGTTTTCTAGGGTGTAAAATGTTCTATAACACTGCTGTGCACACTAATCAGTTTAGCCACAGGACTCCCTGCATTTCATGTTTTTTTCTGAAGACTGGAAAATCTAGTCATTCACTTTCCGCCATTTGCACTACAAATTGCTCAAGATACGTAGTCAAAACGTTCTGTCTCATGGAATGAGACATCTTAGGTATTGTCATATAAGTGCCATTAAATCTTTTGTGTTAAAATGTGATTGAGATTCCATTGGGTATGATCAGGATATAATCAGATCTTCCTAGATAATAATGTTTTACTAACCATTTCAAACGCAGAATAACGGAGAAATTTTTAACGAGTAGCGCTGCTTCAGTGCGGCTTTGTAGCTGCTATTCGTTAGTCTAAGCTCTAATGTGGAAGAAAGTCTAATTTATGAAAACCGATTTAGCCTAATTTCAATACAATTTCTCTATTGAGCATCCTTATAATCTTTATTCATTTACTCGTGAACTCAATAATTGAATAAATGTTCAAATCGAGAACTGAGGTTGTATTTTCAATTGAAGAATAAAACTCGAACGTAAAAAGTGTTCCCGAGAAAGAGATCATGGCCGTGAAGGAATAGCTTAGACCAGTAATAAAACTGGGAGGAAATCTACCGAAAAAATTTGCAGCTCGAACGAGCATCAACGATTTCGTCTTGAGTTGGAAAATGCTAGAATCTTGATTAGTCCTGAGAAGATTCCGGGAAGTAACTCCGAGATCGTATGAGCAGTTCGTCATTTCTTCACGAGAAGCATTCAGAAATGCAAATAAAAATTTGAACGAAGTAAAGTGGAACGTAGATAGCTGCTCAAGGAAGATGATTACTGCAGCCTCAGTGGCATCAGCAGGAGAGAGACTTGATTGTTATTTCAGCTACATAACTATAAGAACTTGTAAATAATTAAGTAAAAATTCAGAATATATGAGATATACAGCTGCATATATTTATTGTATTGACACATATTACACCATACCTGCCTGTGGTGTCATTACACCAACGTAGCTGAGATCGTTGATCCAATAAAGTCCTGATTGTTGAGGATATCTGTAGAAAATGAAAGTACAATTCCCGTTTCAAAATTAGCTGGTCGGTAACAGTAATTGAAAGACTAATATATGGTTAGCATTGACGACGGTTAAGGCATCTGCAGACAAAGGTTTAATTCTTCTAAATTACAGAAAAAATCTCTAACGCTGTGCTTAAAACGAATACGTTTTGACTGGTTGTACTCAAAATAAATTAAGTAATGGAAGCGTACGAGAATATTCCCTCTGGAGAGACACTCATTACGCATAACAAATTGGAAAAAGCGTAGTTACCAGTTGCCATGGTCGCTTGTTGGTAGTTTTCAAACGTAACCTTACACGCCCTCTTCACAGAGTCAAGCTCAATATTCTTCACCAATCCATAAGGAGAACAAATTTCATTGACAGCTTGTTTGGTGGCATGCATCGGCAGCTGAAAGAAAAGTGTCGGTGAAATTTAAGTAAGGAATTTGCGGCAACATATTTCAATTGACGCACAAATAAAACTAATTGAAGATAATGCAATGAAATTCTAACTAAATAGCAACAGATCGTAAAACTTATAACTTAGCATGGATGATGCAACACTCACGTTGGTGAGAATGACTAATTTGCCGGAGGCGGTAGAAGCATTTTGGCCGAACGCCGTAGTGTTCTCATTGGATCTCTGCGAACCAAGATCAAATCCAGCACATCTCCTGGGAGTTATGAGTCCCCTCCCCCGTCCACTGCCGGAGTTCATATGCTTCTTGGGGGAGTTGGCACCACGGCCTCCTCTTTGAGGCCCAGCATTATTGCGGAACCCGTCCATTGTCCTCGGCTCAGCTCGACTCAAGTCTTGCCGCCCGTCAAACGACCCTCGGGGAGGAAAGTTACGATCTGGCTTGCCGAGCAAAGAATCTTGAGGTCTCGGAAATGAATCTGCGGGACTATGGAGAGATCTTTGTGGTGTAGGGAACATACCTTGAGCCGGTTGAAAAGATCCTGAGCGCTCATTGTCAAATCGTCTTCCATCTAAGCTAGAGCCACCAAAGCGAGGCGAGATATCAGGTCGAGGCGAATCATTGGACTGGAAATGGCCGCGTTGACCTCCCATGTTGACACCGAGTGGGACGTCGCGCGAATTTGGAGGGTTCTGATTATGAACACTGCGGTTGTCCCCGGAATCTTTACTTTGCCTAGCATCATCATTATCCCATCGCGAGGCATGAGAACCACGCTTATTCGCATTTCGTCCAGCTTTCATGGCAAGAGACCTGGCTTGGTTCTGTTCCTGCATTCTTGAATGAATCGTAGGCGCAATAGAGCCAGCATTATTTTGACGCGGTGCGGGAGTGATAGGAGCAGGTGGCGTAACGGCTGCGACGGGCATGCCTCCCAGACCAAGACCTCGGCCAATTGTCTTCAGGCCTCGAGGAACGGCGGCCACAACGGCTCTGGTAACGAGATTATCAGGATCGTTTGGCCGCAGCATCTTTACCGCGATGATCCGATCGAAATACTCTTGTTGATGTAACATCGAGATGGATTGAACTGCTTCCACGGGATGTGACATTTCTGAAGCACATACAAGTTTGATTTTGAAAATTGTTTTATTTGACTTCACATTTTAAGAAGGAATTATCAGAGAATAATTGCATAGAATGTTAAAGGATGACTCCACAATGACTCACCGACTATGGCCTGCCCATTGTTGTACTGGATCGCTACGACAGTGCCCGCGATGCTGAACAGTTCCTTGAGGTCATCTTTCGTGGCCGTAGAATCAATCTATATCAACCAATCGTATATAAATGATTAGCAAAAAGTCATAGATATATATATGCTGTGCAGTAAATAGAACTTGCGATGTCTGAAACTGTTCTTAAATGGGGCGGCATAAATATAAATCGTATTTATAGGCTCACAAGCAAGAAAAAAATGCAGAATCTAAACCTGTCCGGTGTAATTTAAATTTAGTATAATCGAATTCACAAATTCGGAATGAACAATTCCTCAAGAGCAATTTTATATTGAATTACGTTCATAACGAGAACTTCTTTGGTGAGTGGCAAGGTGATGTTCAGAGACGCCAGGAATGCTGGAGCAAGACCGTACGTCTCTGTGCTGACGTCGACACAGCCGCCCGCACCCATCGCTTGAGGATCCTGAGGTGGAGGCTGGAGAGAGAAAAATAATTCATATACGCATGCGCAAAACGTATATGAACGACGCAATACGAATTTGATGAACGACGCAATAGGAATTTGATTAACGTAATCCAACTTGATGAACGACGCAATACGAATTTGCAATTTTCTTAGGTAACAATTCGACCGAAAACAGGTGCAATAATTTCCTAAAAATTCTTTGGATGTGGACCGTGGTATATAATTAGCTAGAAAACAATCATCACTGTCTGGTTTGAAAAGCTTTACCCATATTGAATTGAATGTAAAAATAACTGCAATGGAATTAATTAAAATGGCTAATGCAAAAACAATACATCCGACGACTTGTGGTGATTACAGACCTCTTATATCCGACGTAGATTTATACAACAATAAGTAAAGAGTGGATTCAACAAAGAACGAAAAACCATAATAAATTTGAAAGCAGCTCATACAAGTGAGACATCATAAAGACGTAACTAGTCTATTTTTGAAAAAAATAGCACCCCTGAAGTTGCAACACACCTGAGCATTAGGATGACGTGAACGTGTGTTACTGTTCATCATATCGTCGACACCAGCTCGACCAATGGGACCGTCCAAGCGTGCATCCGAACCCCTGAAAAATCGATCATCTTGTCCCCGCATGTCGCCGTTGCCTCCACGCATTGGGTCTCCTCGATCGAAGCCCGACCTCATTTCCGTCAAATTTCGATTCTCATTACGGAGAGGATCAAGGATTGGACCGCCGAATGAGCCTTGATTTATAGGGTTTGGCATCAAACCCGAGCGACCATCTTCGTTGAAGCCAGTAACATGACCTTGCATGCTCTGCTTCATGGGATCCCGTATGCCATCGCCCATCATTGCGACACCCATCTGTAGTCCAGGACCGCCCATCGGTCCCATTCCCAAGAGAGGTCGTTGAGCCTCAGGCCCCACAAGTAAACCGTTGTGTTGTTCAGGGCCCATATTCAGACCAACGTTGTGACTCATTGGTCCCTGGAGCATCATTTCCATGCCCATTGGGCCTTGCATATCCCGATCCTGGTGCGGCCTTACAACCCCACTGGGGTTTGGCGGAACGAACGCATCGGCTGCAGGGCGTGGACAGTGAATGTCGATCTTAACGACTACCTTGCGTCCATCAAGTAACGTGTTACGTAGCTTGAGAGCGGCTACAGCGAAGTAACGGGTCTTAAACCCAAGCATCGCTATGCCCTGAAATGCACCGAACCGATTTCGTTCATAGTGCAACAGTTCTAAGCCGCTGCCTGAAAGAGATGTTCGGGTCATTTTTTTGATGCTCAAAGTACGAGCTCAAGCAAAAGTTCTCTACAGTAAAAATTCTGCCACTTTCTTAACCTGAAACATCTAAACAAAAGAATCAGTAAAGCTTGGAACATTTTTATTGATTTTGTGAGAAAAAACCTTCAAGTGATGCAAAAGCATAAAATTTTTAAAAGAGGGACGAAATGTTAAGTTTGGAGTTGGATTGCATTGGTACAACATTCACGTTGTGAACTAAATATAAGTCAACACAAGCACGACAAAAATGTTGCCGATGTTCAAAAAGACAAAACGCTCACATTTTTCCAAGACGAAATCGATCAGCTTTTCCTCCGGAAGGTTGTAGGCGATGTTTGAGAACTGTAGCACAGTATCAGGACCAGCGCTCCGGGTTCGGAACTGAGCTGCATCAGGGTAAATGTGCACGAGTCGGTATCGCCGATAATCTGCTTCACCAGCAGTGGTACTTCTGCTTCGATCAGAACTCCGATCTCGGCTTCTGTCACGATGAACGGAACTCCGTGCTACGCGGTTGTTCTGCGAACGACCTTGGGAACCTCGGCTTGACTGCCTCTCTCTATCTCGGCTAGAAAGCCTCTCTCTATCTCGGCTAGAACGCCTCTCTCTATCTCGGCTAGAAAGCCTCTCTCTATCTCGGCTAGAAAGCCTCTCTCTATCTCGGCTAGAAAGCCTGTCTCTATCTCGGCTAGAAAGCCTTTCTCTATCTCGGCTAGAAAGCCTCTCTCTCTCCCGGCTTGAAGGTTTGTCCATCTCCCGCTCAAGCCTCCTCTTTTCCCTGTTTTCACGTTCCCTCTCTGACTCTCTTTGTTTCATATCTATGTTTTCAGTCTTGCCACTTGAGTTTTCCTTAGTCCAATCGGATTTCTTTTCGTTTACATTTAGATCAGGCATCTCATTTTCATTCGTATCCTGCGCAAACACAAAATAAATTAGGAAAAATTACAACCATCACAAGGCAATGTACTAAATAATGTCATTACCTGGCATCTTATCCTCAGTCATTACAGTAACCATAGGCTTAAAAGAGACCTGTGAAACAATGTGAAATGAAGAACAGTTTCTCATTATTTCTAAACATTAGAAAACCAATACATAACAAGAAAATGATGAGGGTATTAGCTTCATAATTTATCTTCTCCAAATAATAAAACCATTGAATAGAGAAAGAAAAACGTGCAGGGGACGTTAAACATAATAAAAACCGACCAGCTCGAGATGGATCTTTGTGCCGCCAAGATCACATCCGTCCATAAGCTCATGCGCGATCTTGGCAAGCTCGGCCGTCTCAAAAATGAGCTCCCCTGTGCCGGAATGCGGAGCGTCCGAGCTTTTCCCCAAGTTAACGCGCACGCGCCCGTTAACTGAAACATGAAAAATACCGACATGTACCGACATTTTATTTATTTATTATCAAAGAAAGTGGTTCGACAGTTTAAAACTTGCAACTCACATGGGAACGTTCAAATAGATTGAAAAATTGAATTAGGTATCCTTCATTACCATGAAGACACAAAAAGAATAAAATACACAAAAATGTATATATTTGCGGTCAGATTGAAAGCATCTTGAGGTTTTTTATAGCGAAATCCTGTAAAAGTTTGAGGTACAAACAAATACGGCGATGGTAAAACTCTCGGCAATACTGGGCTGACTACAACACTTGACATGAGCACAACACGAGTTACATCCAAATGTGACTATTGATGGCTATTCTGAATGGAATGATTAATGCCTTGGAATTACCTTCTCCAGAAAATATTTCTTGAAGTTCTTGAGCCGAAACTTCGACTGATAGGTTGCTTATTTTCAAACGATGTTCTTTATGAGATGAAGAAGCAACGGAGTTTCGATTCGAAACACCTGTGCTTTTCCCAGCAGGAATCTGAAAAATATGTGAGAACATAAATAGTTTTTTATTGTTTGGCAAATGAAATCTTGGAAATTCCTCTAAAAAAATAATAGAACTCTGAATTTGCGTCACTTATAAATCTGAAAATCGAACTAAAGTGGAAGCAACTTAGAATTGATCAGTGATTGAGATACTATACAAACTCTCATTCAAGCAGAAGACGATAAATATTCCATGATAACCCTACATAACCATGTAAAATTACAGAGTTCCTACCTTGGATTGATCGATGACAATCTCTCTGCCAGCAATTCGCATTCGATGTAAACTGAAAAACTTTTCAGCTTGTGCCTTGTCCTGGAAGAAGACCTTGCCTTTACCCATGTGCTTCTGACCAGGCTTACAAGGATACGGCGGACGGCTGAGTATCAATTTCTGGATGCCATCCACTGCAAGAGTTAAAGAGAGAGTTAAACTTCAGAGTTACTTCACACTTCAGAGTTAAAGAGAGAGAGTCATGGGCTTAAATAAGAGATTTCCAGCTGAATATTGACCTTAATCGGTGAAAACTTCTGATTAATTGTTAATAACATGTTTACATTTCAAAACTTTTGTTTATTTATCCCTGCTGTTTAATAAATTTCCCAAAAAAAAAAATTCTCAGCATAAGTGAGAATCAAGGATCATTTCATTCTCTAGCTTGTTTTACAAATTTGTACCAATAACACTAGAAACTTTTGAATAGAAGAGCTAAAGTTAGAATTAAAAGAATTATGAGAACAATAAGCGAGCATATAGACATAAGCATCTTCAATAATATTATAATTCACCCTTCTCTTGAAGAATATTCAGGAGACTTTCTTCACTGATGCTGTGTGCAACGTTGCTGATCTTGACCACGACGGCGGCATCCTTTGTTCTCAGCAACTTACTGGCAGAACTGCCGCTTTGCTCGTTAGCAACACGGCCACTTGCTGGGGGTTTAGGCTCCTTGCTCGCCTTTTGCTTCTTCCTCAAGAAGATGTCATGGTCCTTGGGAGTCATCTGCAAATTGGAAGACATTTATGATATATTACGAGTAAAAATATGAATGGAATTATTCATATTTCTAATATTAATCAATTACTGACATATCAAGATTATAAATAGCCACATTAAGAAAATCCCATGAAATTAGTTTATTTCCATAGCAGGTATAAGTGCAAAAGAGAATTTTTTGATTCAGTTTTTAGTAAAAATCCATTTTATTAATATCTTTTTTTTTATTGTGGAGATAATTATTTAAAGTTGAAACATGTGGAGAGCTTGATGGTGTAATTTGAAACATGAAAGACAGGTAATGATGAAAGTATAATTCTGAGATGTGACAGTAATTATGCAGAGAACTGGAGGGGAGTGCACTGCAATGATTCTTGGTTTGTCAGAGAGAGCAACTGTTGCTGTAATATTTAATTATTTATTTTTGCATTTAGAGTGCAAAAATAATTTTGAATAACATGTTTTAGGCAAGAAAACAGAGGAGGAGGATGAAAATAGTCTAAATAATTGGTGAACGATAATTAATTAACACTAACCATAACATCTGTCTTTACTTTAGTTCCTGTTATAGGATGAAAGTTCATTTTTCAACTAAATGTATTTTTATCTCCTAGGATGTTCACAGTACTACTTATCTTAACAATAGAAAATATTATTACATTCAAGAGGTGCTGATAGTACACAAAACTTTGAGCTGAATGCCTTATTTACACTAAGGTTTGAACTGTAGTTTTACACCTAAATTAAAATTTAAGCCATGAAGGGAACGTTCTTTACAACTAATGTGATTTTTCACGTGAAACTGCATACATAGTATTCAAGCTCATAAATAGCTAGGAGTGTCAGTGATTGAAATAACAAACTTCCAATTAAAATTAAAATTTTGCCAATTAATAATTAGTTTCAGCTCTGCCTCCTTTGGTGATCTACCATAAAACAAACTGACTTGGTGAAGAAAGAAAAACCCTATACTCCAAAAAATTTTGCCTTAGAAAAATTAAGTTGATGGCTTTTGAAGTATCATGAGCTAACCTACAAATGCAATAAAAAGATATCTTTAATATATTTACTATGAGACTATTTGTACTGCATAAAAGTAAGCACTAAAAATGGTCCAAGCCAACTCCTCAATGATCCAAGTCATCCCATTCTTTCCAACAGTAAAATTTTGAACCAGAAAAATATTTTGGATTACATTGGAGTTATTGGGGTAACAACTGTGATATTGAACAGCCGTTTCTCCTACCACCTGATACAAGCTCACAACCAGACCAGGTCTCACAGCATTACAAACAAGCAACTTCATTTCAAGATCCTTGATGAATTCAACAGGCTTTGCGAGACCCTTGACAACAATGCCAAACTAAACGTAACAATAGCCTTTGTAAAAACGTGGGTGTAGATGTAGTATATAAACACCAGCCAAAAGGCTGGTGTAGTATATAAATTTTGCTTCAAATAAGTTTGTAGACTTTTTCATGAGTTGACAAAATTGGATATATTAGGCTAACAACCAAGACACTGAGGCGCGGTCTCACTAAATACCTTCAAACTGGTTGTTAGGTGAACCACATGATACAAGCTCACAACAAGACTGCCACTTGCATTGTGCTGGAGCAACCCACCAGCATCCTGATCAAGCAGTGGCCCGACATCAATGATCGACAATAGCTGAAACACTAATCTCTACAGATTGGACACCAGCTATCTATCTCCTAACTACCAAATTTTTATGAACTCCGAGATAGTTTTCAGAATGATTTTTCTGGTTCAAAATTTTGCTCTAGTATCCTATTTACATATATTATGTACTTATTTCCAACAAAATTTCAGTATTTAATACTTCTTGTAACTTGAATTTGAATGTTTGTTGCATTCAAAACATCATTAATAAACTAAAACTACATACTTCCTGAAACATGCATTTTGATCTACGAACATCTTCTGAAGAATTGTTCCACTCTGATAATTTAAATCAACAAATTTTTTGGTCAATAATTGCTCTTGTATAAATAAGCAAATTTTGTCATCTAATATATATGCATATAAATACACATATATATTATACATCTACACATATACATATTATGGTACATCAAATATACATTGCTCACCTTCCGCACAACCACAGGAAAATTGGCAATGCTCTTCAACAGTCCAGCAGCCTTGTCAACACCACTCACAGGTTTTATGCAAACCACAGCAGCTTTCCCATAGATGCCATCCACAAACTCTGCTTTGGCTTCTTCATCCACTATTGTATTGAGTTCCATAATATTAAAAATTCCATTAACACAATTTTTACAACTGCTCAATTTTCTATATAGAAAAATTATGAGCAAAAGTGAGCAAAATAAAGAAATCATTCCAGTACCTATATAGCCGTTTTGGAACTAGCACATGCAGGAGACATAATATTTACAACCACAAGGTTCTCCTTGTTTCAATGCGCTCTCTTCAACTATTGGTGTAATTTGTCAAAAATTGTTCTTTTATGCAGGTTTCATTGAAGACTAGAGAGTATTCCTTATTGATCATTTTTTTCTCTGATATCTCTTCAACTAAATGTATATATACCTATATATAGGTACCTATATATATAGGTATACTTGCTAAATGCACCTGAAACATGTTGGATACGGTATATAATGCATCAACAGGTAAGCCTGATCTTATTTGTACAAATTCTTTTCACAGTTAAATAAAATTACCAGCAGTAGGAAATCAGTATCATACTCACAGACTGATTGTACAGCTTGGTACACTTCATCAACAATCACACAGTCTGGGATGTTGAAGATGACAAGACGGAACACGCATCCAGAGTGAACGTGTTTCTGTGAGCTGAAACTGCAGCTGCTTTCATTGCCAGTGAACATTCTGGAAAGAATGAAATGCTCAGATCAAAATTCACACATGAGGTTGCCCAATCCAATCCAGGTTAGAATGTCAAGCAATTTTCATAAAAGAAGGGTTTGCATGATGCTCTAACATTTTATTTGCATTAACACTTTCACATATTTTAAGGCAGGATACTACACAATTTTCAACTGACAATTTTGCTAGAATTTGACATTGAGGAGGGAAATGGGTATACATATGACAGAATGGAGAATTCAATTACAAAGTAAAAGTGTCTGCAAACTATCATTCAGAGACAACAGGAGAGCTTTTGCACCCAGAGTAGCAGTGACATCACTCATTGCTGATCAAATATTTGAAGGCCACTAAAAGTACCTACTCCCCTTAATGAATATGCTAACATAACATTGGCCTGGAGTTTTAAATTTCAAGCTGTCAACTTCTTAGAGTGAAGAAAACTGTCATAGCAAGAATCAATAATATCAATATTATAATAATCAATGATAAAATTATACATATCATAAATTTCAACATTGCAATCAGAAGAAAACACCTTCAACCGGGGCTACTCGGGACGGGTGGGGTAACTCGGGACAGTCATTCGACACGGCGTAAAACTGTTTTAGTAGCAAAACTAATTAGAATATTGCAAAACTAAATATAGTGGCATAAACGTCAACATTTTTCCTATCTATGTAGTATAAAGGAAGTTTGAAAATACTGCATTTACTAGCTTTGGAAAATTCCTGAAAAAAATAGTGAAAAACAATATTTGAAAAGTTACTTCTGCTAAGGTCTGTAGTAAAAAAAAAAGATTTGCCATATTAAAAAAATTTGCTTAGAAAAAAAAGGCAGACAAGTGTCAGCATGAAAACTTTATTTGCGGAATTTGCATACCTCAATAAAAAAAAAAAAGAAAATATCATTTATTCTACCTTTACATCATCTACAATGAAAGAGGACTTCAGAGTACTGTTAGTAATGGATGAGTATGCTCTGCATGCTTCAAATGTTTTAAAATTAAGTTTTATTCCAAGTGTCCCGAGTAGCCCCGCTCGACTGGGCTACTCAGGACACTCTTTTTTTGCTTCTGGCACCTTAAGAATAGCATATGGAATTTTATTGGAGAAGCCATGTGATAGCCTTTGAAATGAGCCTAAACTTGTTTATGAAATATTTCACGGTAAGAAGTTATAAATGAAAAACATTTGAAATCGTCCCGAGTAGCCCCGGTTGATGGTACCAAATTACTCCTGGGAACTGGGCAATTTAGGGCACTTGAAATAAAACTTAATTTTAAAACATTTGAAGCATGCAGAGTCTACCCATCTATTACTAACAGTCCTCCAAAGTACTACTCATCATCAGTTGTATATGATGTAGATGAAGAATAAATGACATTTTCTATAATTTGCACTCACTTTTCTGTTATTGATATGATATATGATATTACCATATTCATACATTACTGTATAATTAATGTGATATTACCATATTCATGGACATGCTATTGAGCATAGACAACAACCTTGTCCACTGCCAGCTTGCAGTGGACACTCGACCACAACACTACTCACAAACCTCACACAAAGCATAAACGATGGCATCAATTCCCGCAAACCCGCACACAGAACACTACTACTTACAATAGACATCAGTAAAGCCTTTGATGCCATCCCTCGCCTCCCTCTCACAAACAAAATCTACAACACCACACTACACAACAACAACAAACGCTGGCTTGCCAATTACTTATCAGGCAGACAAGCATACGTACACTACTCAGGCAAGTCATCACACA